GATTCGAGGCCTAATAAGGGCCTGGAATTATCTCCAGAGGCACATCGCCGCATTCTGGCTGCTACCCGAAGATATTAAGTGGCTCCAACCATTTTAGTAACCACGAGCATCGCAAATATTCCTTCTGTCCCTCCGAAGCTTGGAAGGACAAAGTTGCGATACACAATGCTGTTCCAAACGAAGGATGATCGGTTCCGAATTGTTGCCGTTGCACTTCGCTCGGCGTACACATCGCTGAGGGGGATCAGGACGCCAACTACAGATCCTCGCGCATCTCGTCTACGCCTCATTGCTAGTCCCGCTCCCTTTTCCCTGGATTGTAGCCAGTCACCCCTTCACGGCAGTACTGTCCGCTATGCTCGCGAGTACGAAAAGCACGCCGCCCGTCCGGGCTCAAAGAAGGTTTCGAATCCGCAGTATCAATTAACACGCAGACTGCATGTGCCTTGTCTTCTCTTGGATAGGTAGTCCTGGCAGATAACACGATTCGAATACGAGAGGGCGATCTAGGCAAGATTATCATTGCCTAAACGTCTTTCAATCCTCGGATCTCTACTATGAAACGTAGTAGCTATCAGCTCCATCAATCCCTTCCACAGCGGTAATGTTATAACATGCTATAATCCTAGCGTTATCTGCCATGCCGCCACCTTCGGGTCCGCCACTCTCGGTAGTGAATCGTTTGACGCAAGAGAAGTTGCACGCCGCAGAAGACAAGGATACCTGCCGTTGACATCGACATTCTCGCTACTACAGCTTCGATAGCTGCCATCGAAACAGTAAGGCGAGAGTAGAGGCAAAGCACATACTATCGAAGCAGCTACCTCGTGCTCCAACGATCACTTTGTCGAGTAAGGAACATGCGATCCAACGTCTACTTTAGTACGAGCTCAAGAGGAAGCTGTAGAAAAGTGACAAGCGTTTCGAATAATTCAGCTTCACTCAAAACTTTCCATTCTAGCAAATCAAATCTGTGCCGTTCTTATCATCGCATATCACCAGCCTCTGCTTCGCTACTTCTAACACGACGATTTAAGCATTCTATATGCAATCTGGAAGGTCTGCCCTGCAACGCACAGTCGTTAGCAAGTTGAAAGTCGGGCGTAGGGCTGCTGCAAGATCCGTTAAAAAGGGCACGGCATTGTCGCCAGCCGAAGGTGGAGTCGTCTACCGAGAGCGACACACCTGCGGCCGGAGCCTTTAGAACATTGTTCACAGGGTGTGGCCTGCGGCATCAAGTCCATCATTTCGAGCAGCAGCTCGCCACGAGCGTGACTATGTTGCCAATTAACGACAGAGCCGCTGGCATGCAGCCACGATATTCGAAGCCTTCGACCCTTACTAAGCCTTATCAAGAGACGCACAAACAGATCCTCGCATGCTATCCAGAGATTCGCAAAGCCACGGCCCTTTCCGTATGCCCTACGAACCCGCTCTTGGCCCTGCGCTATGCACTTCCGAACGCGAAACGGAACATGAGCTACGCAATCTCGACATTGAGATCCGCGTCTTTCGAAGAGAAGGGTATCGATTGAAGCGGCCAGATGAATAGAAGACGTCGGACCAAATGCAAGCTAGTCGAAAGAGAATAATCCATCCAAACGCGGCACCGAAGCGCAGAAAGAACGGAATTGAGGCAGCAGCCGTAGAGAGAAGCGAGAGACAACAAGACAAGAACTGAGGGAAAAGAAGAAGAGTCGAAGCCTTAATAAGCAGATAAAGTCATGAAACATCGGCGAGATGCGGTCTCAGAAATCCAGATCGCGTCCAAGTCTAGGCATATGCGATCCTCGCCTCCACGTACGACTTGCCGTTGCCTCGCAATCTAATACTGCCGATGCTAGTCGGTGGCCCTTTCAAGACTTTGATCCTCCCGGCTTCAGTCTGCCCAGCCTTGCCCCGAATTGCTAGGGCAAATCCTCCAGCTGAACCACAAATTGGCGCTCAAGATCTGGAGGGAACCCTGCAGTGTCAATTCCTACCAATGTACTGACGGGATTGTACTGGCTCACTGCTTTCACCTCCTACGAACGCGCATCGACGAGAAGATGTCTTGATTGCCGATGCCGACGGTGCTCTGGTAGATGATGGTCTCTGTATCGTAGATGACACCAGGGCTGTTGCGGAAACGATTCGTCGGTCCAAATCGCAATGCTTGGTCTGCGGGTTTCCATGGAGGATGTAAATTGGTCCTCCGACCGCCGGGAAGTCTTCAATGCGGAATAAGACTGGTCTCAATTCTCCAGCACGGCATCCTCCATTAGCTCGACCTTGTCTTGGCTTGGCCCAGAACATTGGCTGTGGGCCCAGTCAGTACTCAGACTGCAAGACGAAGAACAACGTGCTGAGCGCTTTCAAGCTCTCCTTTTGTCCCGTGTTGACAACTGATAGGCGATCGGAGGTCTATAAGATCGCGCTGTCCAAGCGCAAGCATGCATCGGCCAAAACATCGTCACCAATTCCGATGAGGAAGCCTGTATCTGCGGCGGCCTGGGATACGACACGAATTTTTCTCTTGCCAGAGCTCATCTACCGGAAGCTGTTGCCCGGATAGCAATGCTTGGTCGGGAGATGCCGTCAACGTGCTAGTTGTTTCAGGTTTTCGGGCACGATCGGCAAGCTTCCTTTCTTTCCCAGAAAGATTTTTGTTCAGCTGCGGCTTCGACGCGCATCGCGGGCGCTGTCGAACGGTAGGCAAACGCCGCGCAATCTCGCTGGGTGTGTCGGAGGGGAACGATGAAGTCGGTTCGAGCGAGGAAGTCCCTGGACTGTGGTTGCCAATATGCTGCAGAATAGGGCTCGGGAGGAGATTCTGGACGTATTGCATGTGGCCGCTCGCTCCATGACGTTTTCAAATCGGAGAGTCAAATTCTTGCTGGCCGTGACCGGGGACGATCGGGATGGTGATTCTTGCAGCGCCTGCGGACGATTGGGAGCAATGGAGTTGTTTGTGGGAGCGTGGAAGTGCTCTTCCTCAATGAGTGGCACTGTTCGACGGGCTTGACACTCACACGGTGGTCAGATATAGTCCTCATCGCCGCATGGGAGCCGAAGTAGGATTGAGCGGATTCACACTGTGGAGAGAATGTCGGAAGTGTACTACCCACATGGCAGGGCTTTCTCTTTCGTGCCAGAAACTGATTTCCGTAATTCCGCTCTTCAAGCTCCCCACCTGTACTGTCCAGCACCGAGCACGCCTCCTCATCGCTTCCTCCCGGATTCCCACGTGCCTCCCGTGAACTCTTTATTGAGATATCGCTGAACTCAAGCAGATGGTGCACTTGTCAGCCTCCGTCTTTTCGTATCTTGCCGACCATTCTTCTCCACTCGCTGACGAGTCGTATTTCGGTCGAGGATGTGCGGCGCCTTGCAGCTTGCGGTGGGTCGGAGCGAGCTGGGGGGATCAGGCAGGACAAGATGGTCGTTTCAGCTTTGCCTCCGCTTCGAACAAATACAATCGGCGAAGACGAGACCGGATGCTTGGGGATCGTATCACGAGGGGACGACGTGAGACGGGGAGGGAGCCAAAGGACGATGCTGCGGTCGGTTTGCTGTCTTTGGTGAACGATTTCCAAGAACCGATGGCGAGAGCCGATCCAGTGGCGTCGGTTTGTCTGCTGTCACATGTTATTTTCCATGGAGGAGAAATTCTCGACGACAACTTCTTGGAGATCGGATCAAAGGGAGATGTTGGCATGGAGATACGAGCGAGGTTTCTGACTATTGTCAATCCATCCTTAAATGCCCGCTGAGGCAGATACGTCTCTTCATTCCCGCTGGTTCAGCATACAGATTGGATCGATCCTTGTCATTGTCGCCAAGTTGCGCAAGCTGTCAATCTCGTTGGTCTTCTGATCTGGTGTGCAAGCTCCCCAGCTCAGACTGCGGTCGCTTGCGTGCATCCTGCCGAGCGAGCAAGGACTGATGCTCCTCATGATACTGCCGTTCTCGCCTCTCAATGCGTTGCTGTCACGTCCTGCACATTTCGTATCCGCCCTCGCAAGTATCGCTCATGTCCACCCTCCGCTAGTACCGAGCGGCATCTTCCTCACGCTCGGAGCCGATGTTCGTACGAGGCAGAGATCGCGGGATCAGCTGTCTTCTCGCGGCAGATTACTGGACGGCCTTCGACCTAGGCCTCGTTGTTCATCCCCGAGCAGGCGTGACAGTGCCGCTCCTGTCCAAAGCGTTCCAGTTGTACTGGAGCCACCCTCCTCGTTCGTGAAAATGAGCACGGCCTTGTTGCCACCCTGGTTTCGAAGTTGCTCGTGGCTTCGTTCACGACGTGGCCTGTTGCGCCTCGATCTTGCTCCTGGAAGTGATTATGGCGATGGTGCCCCGACGACTCCTCCCACTGGCCCATCGGGTTTGAGATGATAACGATGATGGCTGAGGTGACCAGCAGTCGTCCGTGTGCTACTTTGGTAGGGTGAGCAAAGTCTGCGTGATAGATGCATTATGCATGTATGGGCGAATCGCAACGTGATGCGTGAGGCAGTGGACAGGAAGCAGGGATCCAGCTCGCACTTGGACTCGGCGTTCTCGCATTCGTACTCGCACTCGGAAGCGTTCAGAAGAGAACCGACGTGAGTGGCCCGCAGAATGCTGGTATGAAAGGCACGCAGGGCTGTGACACACGACGGCAGTGTGCGCATGTGTTATTGATGCCGGTAGTACTGTGGTGTGATGTTGGTGTGGAAGGGCAAGTGCGCTCGATGTGTGATGGATGCGAGTGCAAGCTGGACGGAGAGAGAGAGAGAAAGCAAGCGCGGCTCGGCGCAGCAAATCCCCGCAAAGCTGGGCGCGAGTGGGTCACTTTTTGAGCTTTCTGATTGGCTGCGGGAAGCCCGCCGATCCCCCTTCACCTCCACGGCGCTCCACCGATCCGACCAACACGGAAGAAAGACGAGCATCGTGGCGGAAAGCCGCTACCTTTGTTCTCGGATGCAACCCCCAGACGCATTCGCTATGAACAAAGGAAAGCCGCTGTGCGCAGCATAATGCCAGCGTTCACACCGCTCGGGTTCTCAATCTCGCACCGACCAGCCGAACTGCCCGGTCCTGCCACGTGCGAGTGCCAGCTGTCCGCAACTCCGGACGAAGGCAACACAAGAAGACAATATCCTCCTCCACGGTATCATCCTCCCGCTCTCTCTCCGCAAGCTATACAAGACCTGAATGACATTCTCATGAACACGTCTCGGTGCGACGACTCTGGCCATGTGATCAGGTCGAAGGCCTCGAGGCGTCACCAATCGATTGACTTTCCCGGCTTTGAAGAACTCCATACCACGCCTTTCGCCAACCGAAATGGCGCAGTCGCACAATCGATCGATGGCAGTGCGTATGCGGTTGTCGGCTTGCATGTGCGGAACATGCTGAAAGCCCGCGACGGCGTCACCGAAGGACACCACGACGGCAAGTGGCTCCCAAAATCTTCAGATCAAGACCCTGCAAAGGAACGACCAAGTACATGTCGCCAGAGTCTTCACACTCGCCATGGAAGACTCGTGTCTTGGACATCGTTGGACACTGCTAGTGAAGTCGTCGACCAGGACTTCGAAGATGGGTATCCCAGGACTTCGATCGTGATAAGACGCAGATGAGACGGACAATACTCGAGGCAGGCCTTCATGAACGCGGTGAGGTCTCCCGATGAGGTATGCTGTCGCCGCGCAAGGCTTCTGCAGCACACGATGAGAATTCGCAATCCTGATCCATACAGCCGATTGCTTGGCTGGCTTTCTTTCCCACGGCTCGCGCGTATCGCTGCAACATCCACATTCAGAGCGCAAAGCATATGAATCTGCCGGAAGAACCTGCGAGACCACCACATCGCCCCGGCTCTCGCAACGCTCAATCGCTGGCTCCAACATCTCATTTTCCCCACACATGCCGGAGCTGAGATCGGATGAGATGGGACATCCGCAGTCGGCAAATGACACCGCTTCGGACATTCAGCCTGGAGTTCACAATCCCATCCCAAGATCGCACTCGTCGACCACTGGGTTTCCGCAGGCGGCTCTAACAACAACGACGCCGACGTTCCTGATTCGGTCCCAGCAAGGGTTTCCACCAAGGTCGCTACTCTAACCGCCAAGGCAGAGTCCGTCGGCAAGGCGGAGTCCTCTGATTCGGAGGACCATCTGGCCAAGTATCACCGCCCGGCCGCCACGAAGTCGGCAGCTCCGGGAGAGTCAGAGCCCGAGCGCGAGCACGACGAGCAGAACACCCGGACCGACACCCTGCTAGCTGACGCAGCACTTCAAGGCCTCACCAACATGGGCCATGGCCCAGGAAGCGCACGCCCACTCGTCGGCTTCACCATCCCCGGCGGCCCGACTGGCAAAACGGTTGACATCTGTGTTGCGGAAGCTGGCGTCGGGCTGCTCCGACTGAGGCAATGCAAGCGGTTCGGCAGCCAAGAGACCTCGCAGGCGGCTGGCTTATCTCGTCCTGGGTGATCTCTGCTAACCCAGCTCTGACCCGAGCGAGGGCAGCGGGCTGTGCAAGCGTCGGTACTGAGAGTGTAGTGAACTCCAGGGACTGGTTGCGGGCAGCGCGGAGAAGTGCGCGGACAGCGTCTCGATTGAGTGTCTGCGTCGCGGTCGCAGCGGCAGCAGCTTCATCAAGCTATGCCAGGGCTTATTTGATCACAATGCCGGCAGAGTGTCTCTGTAGTAGATCGCAAGGGCAAGCCATTCCGGTCGAGGTATGTTTGTAGCAAGAAATCAACCAAGCATTGATATCTGCCTGCTTCAGAACTTCAGAAGCCTGTCCATCGTCGCCCCTAGAGAGAGCTGCAATAAGCTGCTCGTTCCGCGCCAGCAGGCCATGATGTTGCATGCTTTGAATCTCCCAGTATGCCGCTCCTCTCGCTCTCGACTTTCCACATCGAAGCGCTCGCGGCGTGTATTGCAATGCTCGTCATTGTGAAGTGTTCTCCGCAGCAGCACCTATAATCGGATCGGTCACCTGAAGAAAGACCCCAAGCTGCGCCTTATACAAAGAGATCGACAGATTCGACAAGGCAGCCCTTAATATAGACTCTCGAATGCCTGGCATGTAATGCTCCATCGTCCCCGATTGAAGTCCCAGACCTCGACCTTTCTAACATTGCAGTCCTCCCCAGCTTTGGACGATGGCAACATTTGCCCTTCTAGCCGATCCTTACGGCTTTGCGCCTGCTGGAGGTGGTCCATATGAGTCTCCCAATGGCAGTAGGCATATTCTCCAGTTCATCGTGCAGGTTCCATCCACGCCCCAGGCCGTCGAGCTTCCTTCTAACTTAGCGGATTGGCGACTCGCAATCTTTACACCATCCACGATGACGGCCGACAGGATCATAGGTCAGATTACAGACTTCTTGATGCAGAAGCTAGTAGAGAGGGGGTGTAATGTGTATCAGCTGCCATTTGATTTCCAAAAGAATTCAAAAGGAAAATCGGAAGAGCCGTCTATGTGTACGCTGTCCCCAAAAGTCAAATTAAACCTATACACCGAAATAGATATCCAGTCCAGATATAATCCCAAGTTCGAAATCGTAGTCGCATCGATCGTGTTGAATACCTGAGTCGGCTTCCAGAAAGGAAGTAAGAGTGATTAAATGCAGCGGTCAATCCATTGGACGAGTAGTCGCTGTTCCGTGCTTCAGCTTCTTGTCTCCGGTATCCGCCACGGGTATCCGCGTAGTAAGGTCTTCGCTGCTATCAACCGTGGAAATCTCGAGGTTAGAGTACAGGGCCAGAACAAGGTAGAATTTAGCCTCACAGGACTTTAGACGAAAGCTCCCTTCGCGGTTCCTCTGTCGGAATCGATTGGGATCACAGCAGTGCGGTGGAAGATGTGGAGCCTTTCGCAACGCCTCTCGTCATCTTGGAAAGTAGGGGAACTCAGTACTCAAGCCCGGCAGTAGGGTCAAGATAAGGCAGAGCAGACAATCTTTCTGGTACCTGGTATCGAGGTTGAACTCCTTGGGTTCATCGTCGTATCAAAGATGCTTTTGACTTGAGTAAAAGAATTCAGCACTTTCAGACGGGCATGATACTTGAAACATCAAGCGGGTATGACATATATTATCTCAACCTTCAACGGCAATCGGAGCATCATGGAGGATTTCTTGAGCGCCCGCGCAGGCGTTGACTGTAAGTCGACGACGGAACGACGCCGAGAGTTCCGCTCAGATTCATCCATCCAGCACGATATATCGCAGATGGTACCTGCGCTGACTGAGCAATCCGAATTCCACTCGGTGCAATTTGAGTTGCCGGGCGGGCATCGTTGAATTGTTCAGAGTGGATCCATTGTTGTACATTCAGCCTTGGACGAGCGATCCAAGCCAGTGAGTGCTGTCGGCGAGCATTCCCACAGCTCACTGTGTCCGCCGCTGCTATCCGCCCAGGTTTGCGAGATCGATCGATTGGCCAGCCATTGAAAGCGAAAGTGCTTGCGGTACTGGTCGTAGGCGGCATGTTAGCTCTTCATATCTCTGGTGCTCCGCTTGAAGAGGAAATGAAACTCACGAATTTGGGACAATCGCAAGAGGTGGCAAAGGTCAATCGCTGAAAGAAGCGATTCCACCGCAGGAGATGGGACTGGCTGTGAAGGCAACGGATCCATGGCATTGTGCAAGGCAGTCGACGTGGACGTCGCGCAAATGATTTTGAAGGCAGCTGCAACAGGAAGTGTAGCTCAATTGAGGATGGTAGCCTGCCTAACATCCGAAGCAACACCGCTCGGCAGTCACAGCAATGACTTTGATTACTAGCAATGCTCGCGGCATCTGTTGTAATGAGACCAGATCTCTCACTGTGGTATGCTCGCCACAAAGCGATCCCATGGCTGTAAGGCTATGTTTTGGCCGAAGGGCCCAACGGCACATTCCATACATGTACGTTTCGAGAAGTGAGGACGCCGCTGGCGGCACGATGACAATGAAACGTAGGGCTTTCATTACTTCGAGGCACACATACATTCGCAAACCAGTTACTCTTGATATTATACATTATAATTCATCATTCATCAATCGATTAAGAGTGCGGTGTTGTTCGTCCATCTTCCAGAGCTCACACAGGGAGCCGCCGTCGTTTGACAATCTTTTGCTGCGTCGAACGTGCTTTTCTGTGCCATCCCGCTCTCGAGTGGCGGGCAATATCCGAGGCGTCTTCTTGCGAGCGGTGTGGGGGCAGGGCCTTTCAAGGGCTGTGCTGGCTGCTGGTCCCTCGACGATAACAATACTCCTCGGCGATTGGCCCTCGCATCCGCCAAGACATTCTGTCCTCGACCTCTTCAGATGCCATCTCTCATGTCAAGTCTCTCCAGCGCGCTCCGGAGCCGAACCATTGCTTCGCTCTTGAACTTCCGGCTATCCTTCTCCAGACACCGGCGGGAGTCGTCAATGTTCGATCTGACGACGGTGAGAAGATCCTTGAGTTCCATGAGACGCAGAGTATGGGGCGATCTGCCATTTGACTGTTCCAACTCCTGCCGCCGTGCTTCCAGGCTCGCGATGATTTCGTCCTTGTTCTTCTGAGGAAGGCTCGTCATGCCTCGGATCGCGTTGAGTTCGACAATGGTGCTGGTGAGCAGGTCTTGGTTGTTTTGCTGGCCCTGCAGATCGAGTGCTCTCTGCTTGTCTTCTTGGTGAAGTACAACATCGCGGAGGCCGGTCAGGTTGTTCTGTATTGCGACAGTGCGTCGCAAGATGAATGCGTCGTCGTCAAGAGCCGCTTCAATCTCTGCAATTGCCGACTCCAGTCGACCAGAACTCGTGTCAAGCGTGTGGTCAGGAAGACGAGACTCCAAGACAGCCAACGTGAAGCTATTTCGAAGGTCTTCGGCGCTGCGCTTCTGTCCGTTTCCAGAGTCCAAGTGATCTGCAAGTCTGTGCATCAAAGTAAGGCAGAGGACAGAACTGGAGCCATGAAATGTCAAGGGCTCCGAGAGAGCGTCTGCGAATGCAGAGTTGATTGCAAAAGCGCCAGCGATGAATGCCGAGTCATGGATGTGCATGTCTTCGATATGGGGGACGGAGGCCAACTGCGGCTCCGTTTCGTCTTGTCCCGCAAAACACTCCTGTGGGAGATGCTTGTCCACGAAACCGGCGACAGCAGCGAAATCGCGATTCTTCAGCTCTTCGGTAGTGTTGAGGGTGAAGACAGTCAAAGAGTTCGACTGCAACTGGACGTAGGCGGACACCCACTGAGATTGTCCCGCACTTGTCTCGGCTTCTTTATCGCCGGCGTCCTCGCCATTGGTCTCGTTATCCAGCAGGCGAGGTAGGTAGATGACGATGCTGCAAAAGGAACCGTTCCACTTCTGATCTTCTCCGATCTGGATGTCGTGGAGGGCCACGGCTGTGTCTTCTGGGAATCCAAGAGCCTTGCCAGTATCCTGCGACGTGGACATTCCCAAGCTTTGGAACGTCGCTTGCAGGCGTGAGAACGTCTGTTCTGGAAGCAATTCATCAATGCCAAAAGCATCGCCTGCTTTGTTGCGCTTGCTCGCCGGAGGCTGACTGTATCCGGTGTTCATGTTGCCCAGCCCTCTCTTGTTTGCAACCATCGCGTCGGCGTACTTTGAGGCGTCGGAGAAGTGCGAGGTGTGTATGGAGTCTGGGGCGTGCTTGTAGTGCAATTCGCCGCAAATGTCACTGCTCTTCTGTGCGCCGATCGCTGGGTCTCGAGATTCAACACGACCAGCCTCGCCGTCGCGTGCTCGACTCGGGCTGTCGCGGAGGGCGTCGGTCTGCTGCAAAGGAGTGTATGGCTCGTCCTTGTCGTCAATGGAGGACAGTGGCTGGCCGTTCTTGTCGTGAGGCTGCTCAGGGCCGTCAATCTGAGGAGGAATGTATGAATCCTCGTGGTCCTGAGTAAAGGTCGGTGGCTGGTCGTCCTCGTCCTGCGGCTGCCCAGTGCCGCGCGTAACGAAGCCGAAAGTGTCGGGGAAGGATTTGATGGACAGTCGGGAAGATGCAGTGAGGCTTGTTCGGTGCTCAGGGTTATCGGCAGTGATTATCAGTGATCCGCAGCCGACGTGATCGCGTGCGGTGATGGTGGTGTCAGTGTTGTCGGTGAAGCTGGTGGTGTCTCCGGAGAGAAAAGAAGGCGCGTCAACGTCGCCCCGCGCGCTGGCTTCCGCGCGGCCCGCCTCCGGCTCGGCAACCGAGCCTGACTCAGATGCGGAAGCCTCCGAACCTGAATCAAAGCCTGAGCCTGAGTCTGATTCTGATTCTGAGGCAGACTCCGAAGATGCCCGCGAGCCGTTCACATGCTGCTCGCGCCTTGCTTCCTGCGCCTCTTGGCCAATGGGACTGGCTTCATGCTGGTTTGGTAGGACATGTCTCGTTGCATGGCCGTTCTGGAAATTCTCCAGCGCCTTCGTCGCATCCCAGGGATGCCACTCCACCATCCGGTCAACTCCTCGACCCACAGATCCTCTCGAGTAGTCATGTCTGAAATCCTGACAGGTCCTCATCTCTTGAACCGCCTGCTCGAAAGTGACGCCGCCGCTCTGGGCAAGGCTTCCGAGCGCGAGGAAGAAGCGATAACTCCGGCAACCCGATTTCCCAAAGATGCCGTAGAGCTGTCTCAGCGTGACGGACCACTTGCATTGTTTTGCGATATCCCAAAAGACCAGCAGCTTCGACTGTACGACTCGATCGCTGGTCAACAAAGTCAATGCCGTTCCTAGCGCTTCCTGGATTGCGGGATGCTGCTCGAGATGCTCATCGAGCGCCGACGTGGTATTCGAGAGGGAATGTCTCTGCCACATGTTCCTAAATTCCACCAGTAGTCTGTCCATCGCATCTTCGTGATCTTGCTCCTCTTGAGCAGTCTCGTCATCCGCTGCCACAGCATACTGCGATGCTTCCGACTGTGACATGCGCTTCTTGCCTTTGTGTGAGCCGGTGGATGTTGCAGATGCGGCAGAGGACTGCCCGTTGGATTTCCGTTTGCTCTTGCTTTTGCCGGCACCATGCTCTTTCAATTTCGCATGACAACTGGCGAATTCTCTTGCGCGGCTCGAAAGCGTCGCTGACTCGATCGGATCGGCGACAAGACGGGCCATCAGGATGAATGGACTGATCCGCAGTGGTATGGAGTAGGTTCGGGAGAGTAGGTCGCACGCGCTGGGGATTGTTGCGTCACGCGTGACAGCAGCGGCGGCCTCACGAGGTCAGATCGGTCGCGCGAGTCGCGGGAGAGGAGAAGTTGTGTGAGCATGTATTTCAATTTGTATGTGCATGCAGCTGAGGGTGTGTATGCATGGCTTTCGCTGTCTTCCGAGGTGTGTTGTCAGTGGCAGGTGCAAGTGATAATACGTTTCAGGTTCGGGCAAAGCTTTCAGCTTCGGTTTCGGGCTCGGAGCTTACCGAACCCTACAGCAGACTGTTGATTCACTGTGTCGCGTCATCTTTGTGACTTGCAATTCACTCCCACTTGATTTCGCGGCTTTGGACATGTGGACATGCCATACGACGCTTCACTGCGTGGAGAGAAGGTGTTGCGACACCAGGTGTCGGATACTCGCATGGGACAGAGGAAGAAGGAACTTCATGGAAACCCGGTATTTGATCAGGCAGGCGAGGATGATGACATGCACGCGAACTCACGTAAGCAGCCAGTGCTTCCGCTCTTGCAAGGTTCAGACAAGGACCGTAGGAAATATCCGTAGCCCTACACAGCCCCCGCCGGACGAAAGTAGGAAGCCCGCACCGCGATCTATTATCTAGCAAGCAAGGACGGTATTGTGCACGGCGATCCATCCGCATGCGCAATTTCCCCCTCTCAATTCTTCTGTGAAGCATGCGGACACCAACTCTCTGGCGCACATGCATCCGTGCCTTGTCGAGCATGGGGAAGTCAGGTGCTCCGCGCCCAGATGAGATGAAGATATCATAAGGCCGACAACCCGGGCGACAGGCGACGAATGCAATTCTACGCTTGCCCGGGTTGTCCGATTATCTTGCAGATCTTGCATAAAGAGACTCAGGTCCCGGCCTCTTTTCATTATCGGTTAACATGATATCGGGACGCCCGCCCCTGGGAAATCACTCCAAGCAACAGCGGAAGTGCCTGACTTTCTCCTCTTCAAAATCTTCTTGTGAACACTCGTCTCTTCCATTATCCTCCTCGTACTTACCTCTCCGATTCTTGGAGTTCTTCAAGCTCAGACAAGGTCTGCCTCGAACCGTAGTACCGTACAACTCTGATATACATTTGTTGTATGCTGAGCTTTGTGCAATTAATGGCTCCACTCGTAAAAGCAAGACACGGGCGATGGAAGCCAGGGACTCGCGACTGCGGCTGTGCAGGCAGCAGAAGCACGGGTGTAGCGGCGATGTCACCCTCTTGCCTTCTGAAATACTCGCAGATCGCTATCGCTACCGTGTAGAGCTCGTCAATGTCAAATGGATGCCCTGCTGGTGTCGCTTGAGGCTGTCCTGTTGGCGCATTCCGCCACGAAACCTGTGCGACCGGCATCCATTGCGAAGCATTCTCGTCTCACTTTGCTGCGATGTAGCGGCTTCTGGAGAGGCACCGTCTTCAATCGCACGAGATGCAAGGTCAATGGAGGGGAGACTTCGGTGGCTCGAACCGATGGAGACTGGACCGGACAACCACGCAATGTCAGAGACGTCGCCCCAACACGGAGCCGCTGGAAATCAACGACGCCTATGTAGCAACAAAACCAGAATGAAGATTGCGAATGCTTCTCTAGTAGCAATGGTAGTCGATGACAATGCCGCTGAGGTCTGAGGGCAAGGTCATGCAGGATGCGGCAATCCGACTGAAGTTTCGGTTAAGAGATCCATGAACACATGTTTCGGGACAATGTCTTGTGTCCCGAGCGTTGTGGTAGGGGAGTTTCAGGTGAGTTCGGTCACCAGGTATGAGATTGCCATCCTCGGGGACGGCGGCCACGTTTGCATGGAATGCAGGCATGATAGCACGGTTATTGTGGCTCTGAACTAGCTGTGTCGTCTTCCCAATTTCCTCCCATTAGGATCAGAACCGCCCTCCACTTCAAATGCGAATGCTTTTTGAGCATGGCCAAAAGCCGTGCCAAAAATCCTCTCCGCTTGCGACTTCTCTCCTTACTCAAAGGATGGCAAACAGTATAATCCGGCACCCGATGGAAATAAAGCTCCTACTTAAGCGTATAAGCTATCTTGAATACAGTTATTCGCGTGTCCAGGTGTCCTTCAAATGTTCTGGATAATAGTATGTCCGCATCGGAACGGCTCTTCTGAATCATAGTTCAAGACAGTGGATTGATACAGACGCACAAGCCAGAACATTAATTGTTTGGCCGGGACAATTGCACCGGTAGATCAGAGTTCTCCAGGTCAATTATTTATCAATGATATTTATCAATGATATCCGCAAATGCGAGTGGCGTCTCAAATTATTGTCCCCAGATCTTGGGTAACCGCAGAGCAGTCCAATGCCGCAATGCGTTTGCGACTTCTCCCACACCCACGGATTAGAGGCTGTCTTGCTCTGCTCTTCGCACCTTGCCATTTCTTTTCTGCTAGAAGATCGGCTTAAGAGTTAAGACTGAAGTAGAACCTCGTTGTTTCATCGTATCGGCAAAAGCGAATGCCGCTGAAACGACGTTGTTGTTTTGAGTGGCTGGATGACTTGAAATGTGCCTAAAGACGCTTGTACTAGCAGATACCAGGCGTTACGATCAAACAGCGCATATCTCGAGGCCATGGTCCAGCTGCTCATGGAGGGCAAGTCGGCCTAAGCGGGGCCCTCGACCCTCTTCAAGTCTCTTGGAAACCGATCTTATACTTCAACTAGTGCATGACTAGGTCAGCGTCTTCGCGATAGTAGCCGTACAATCGATCATGCTGCTTAATATAGTGTGTATCTCCATCTCGGGTAGACGCTCCACATTATCACCCCTGTTAAGCTTACCTCGAATCCGAGATTGGTAGTGTAGAATTCCGGGCGAGGAGCCATATATCCCTGAATGCAAGGCTCTCCACAAGAAGCAGGATCGATTGCAAGACCTTCGAGGTCATTCGTTCCGTGTTATGAGTCTTGGTCGATGTCCGCACAAGGTATTGAGTCCCGTTAGACTGATCTACCTTAAGCGTCCGCCGAGATTCCGGGTCTTTATCGTTTCGCTTAGGCTATCATCCAAAGAGCTGTATAGAGAAGAGTGACTGGAACTGGAGTGATGCTATGCTTCAGCACACGACGTAGATGGCCGTACTACCGCTCCGGTGGAAGGCATTTTGCGGCAGTCCGGAGCTTGTCCAATCACCAATGTCGACTGGAACGGCGCATCCATATCTCGGTGCATTCATCCAATCCGTGGCCACGAGCGGTATGGTCTGAACACCGTCTGATAAGTACCGAGGAAAAATAGGCACCACTCGCTTTGCCGAACTCTCGAGCTGTCGCCCTCCACCCTCCACTCTTCTTCATTTCAGTCTGACAGCCATACTTCGTAACTTGATGGTCGACTTGTCGCACCAAGCGTCAACGTGGCCAATCGCTAGGTTTCCCTACGCCATAAACAATTCCCAAGCAAAGACCGGTTTGGCAATTCGTCTGTGCAGCAGCGCGCAAGTAGTTCTCTCCAGAAACGCCGCTACAGCCTCGCCAAGAAGGGCGACCCAGACAAGGCTTCTTACTCGCTCGGTTGGAACATTGTGGATTGTCCAGCTTGAGCCGTTTGGCCCGGGTCCGTCGCCGGAGATCTTCAGGAGCATTGCTTATGTACACGCGAGTGCAGATCGTTCAATCTCCCCATGCCGATTGTTACACACGGCCTGCGCTCGGTCTCCAAACTTTTGCAGAAATTATGTACTTAGCTTGTGTCCACTGAGATGCTTTCCAGCCTTTCCTCGGCGTCTGTAACAAGTTGCTCATGGATCCCGCCAAATCCAGAAGAAGAGAACAAGCAATTCTTCCTACAGGGAGCAGCTAACATTGATGTGCAGACGGTCTTCTGCTCCGTCAAAGGGGCGAGCCACGCAATCTAAGTGGAGCATTCCACAAAGGAATCGACGCGGGCTCGGAAGCGGAAACGAACATGCGAGAAGCATGCCGACTTTTCAGAAAGACACCATTCTTTCCAATAAGACCGTGAGGTATAGAAAGCACGACGAGACCAGGGCAAAGATAGCTGCAGAATGTGATCAGGCGAAGCCAGTTCAATAACTTTCTTGACGAGATCTGTTCTAATCGAATCGCTTTCAAGCTGGTTTGCGCGATGTGAATGGCGGTTGTCTGTTTCAAATCGGCTGCAACCCAATGTACTGAAGGTCTAGCAGCCTTGTTGTAATGGAACAACATCTGGCCAAAGTTCGCATAAGCAGCCTCTTCAGCGGATGCAGCAATAAGCATGTTGCGCAACTCGGCAGTGAGCGACAAAATCTGGGCTCGCAATGCAAAGCCTCAATGGTTCCAATAATTACCTCTGCGTCCAGATAGCAACAGTAATCGGTCTCACGCAGGGGGTGTCGCGCCTCTGTCTCTAATTGGAAGTATGAGGCTACATGCGCATCCAGCAGAAGAGTCGGCATGGTGCCACATCGAGTGTGTAAGGCGGCCATAGAAGGGGAGAATGGGACATGTCGGACCGTTAAACCAGAACAGTGCAGCGGTACCCTTTGTGAGAGATGTAGAAAGCTGGTAGGCAACAGGAGACCAGACGTCCCTTCGAGCTTATAGCGCTCAGCTAGAGGGTCCTTTTCGGAATCAGATTGTCGCCCGGTATGCTTGTTGCAGTGAATAAGTGACCAGTCACATTCGAAATAAATTGAATTAATGTCTTGGACAGCCCTGGGTGCTCTCCCATTATCCCATACACAGGTACCATTGCACGTTGAGTGTGGGTATACATATATGCACACGGTGCACATCGAGAGCTCGCTCACTGACAAGCTGTTAACATGGCGAGAATGAGTCAAGTTGGCCTTCCATAGTTTGTTAACCCCGGATAGAGAATGTCTCGTTGAAGTATCGTTCGAGTATCCTAGGACATAACGCCAATGCTCACGGTAGATTTCGGTCTGCCGTCAGTTTCAGTCCGCAGCAGGTCTCTCTACGTCGTCGTTCCAATGCTCCATACCAACAAGAACGCAGGATTGGAAGTCCGGGAGGATAATGAAGTATGAGACCTCAACAGTTGCAGTGCTATGTTCTTCGCTCCAACAATCAAGCAGGACGTCGTCACGGTACTGAGTTTGTCCGCAGCAGTTTTGTCGAGGAAATGCTCCAGCATGACCCAGTCGAGTTGGGCAGTAAGAATTGTACGGAGCAAGCCGACGTGCTTGCGGGCCATTTCATCGACCTTCGGTGCAACGGTGTCGTTCCAGTGAGTCGTATATTCGACGACCTTGAGCGAGAGACGGTTCCAACCGACAATGAATGGGAATTGGTCGAGCTTAGGATGCAGCTTGCCCGCCTCTGTGGATCGCACAAGCCGGTCCATATTGAGATCTTCGCACTGAAGGTGGTGTACCGTGTGTCTTCTTGTGCTCGTCACGCGCCTGTCCATTCAGCGTGGTTGGTGTATTTCGCCTCGAGCCAGACATAGTGCTTCCTGCCAGGAGGGCAGAGTATGGTTCGGCGACCTTCCGTCAAGTCCTTGTCAAGGTGTTGGCCGAAGCCGGTGGACATGGTGCTGCCGAGGTCGGTGCATGAGGGTATCGCTGCGCCTTCGCCAGCATCCAAGCCATCATCTACGCCCGCCATCTCTCAGAGCAACTCCGCGAGTACATTCGCCGATGCGTTCACTGCATCACCGATCCTACTCTCCGCGGCAGACCATACGGAGAGCTCGCACCGAGCCATGCTCCACCAATTCCCCCTACTATGCTGTGATTGCGGAGTGGGTGCACGCATTATCAGTCAGACAGGAGATGGACGCCCTCATCACGGCGGCTTGTAAGTTCCCCAAGAAGCTGCTACTGTTCTCTGGACAGAGGCAAAGCCAGAATTTGCCGTGAGGTGGAAGATATCTGGGCCATGTAAGGGCTCTAAGTAGCTGTTCGACTGGCCAGAACCTCCTCGCGGGTGTTATGACGCTTAACGAAGAAGCAGATATGGTCAAGTTCCTGCTTCGGCCCAGCTCGCACAAGATAGCATCATACACCAATATCTGAAGGCCACTGCGAGCGATGAGAAGTCGATGAGCTGTATACATGCCTCGAATCTGATCTAGTACCTTGCCAGACTCAATTTCTTGCGGTCCATGAACATTCTATCTTGGGAATACTGCCGCGAGGTTGCGATCGACTGTAGCCAACGCAGCGGCGCCGCGGCGGGCCTCCACGGTCGCATCATGAGTGCTCGCTATACCTCAAGCGATGTTCCAGTACGTCTCAGTCTTCAGGTCCTGCGGATTGAAATCATCCACAGATTGTGTGTCCAAAGGATCCCGATTCGTGCATGGGTTGCGATCTGACCAGAGCTGCAGTGTTTGAGACCATGGCTGCATCTTTCTGTTCAGCGAAACCAGCAAAGCGATCCCCTCGAACATGCTCTGAGGCTGTGAGACCATGTCGAGGAGGCCTGCTGTGGTGGACGCTCGGTCGTGTTGAGTCTAGAGCGATGCAGCGACTCTCCCAACATCCATTCAGTCTCCGAGCTCAACGTTCCGAAATACATTAACCAAGTCGTTTATCGTCCGTGTTGCAAAAGATATCGTCTCTGCATATGGCGGTCCAGCGAGTGTGGAAACACGGAGCAAGTTTGCCAACTCGACGCCGTGGAATTTGTCGACACCGTGGCTCACTGGTCGTGCTTGCGGCGACATCATCTCCGTGCAGTCGAGTTTGCGAATCTGCTAATTTGAATTGGGACCATTACTGACGGGAACAGTGATCCAGCGAACTACCCCGCGACGTCTCAGATCTCCCTTACGCCGTGGTTCTATGGTTTCATCGCTGATAGCGATGTCTCCATACAGCTTATCCAGTGAACATGCCGATTTGAACCAGCCCAAGTCGTTGGAATCGTCGTATTCAAGCAGAGGGTTCAGCATACCACTTCGTCAGAGCCTGGTCATGTCGCTGGAGTCGTCTGCAATCAAGGATCCAACCGAACTCGACGTTGCCGTAGCTGTCGCCGCCACGATTCGTGTCATCGATGGCTTTGTGTCCGTACGACTATTGCACTATGTTTTCCGAGCGGAGACCCCTATATGCATTGACGGCAAAGTGTGGCCACGTCTTCGATCTCATGCTGGTCCAGTGAATGTTTCAACTCGACGAGTCCAGATCTGTCGGCGACGCAACGGCGTTGTCTCTGTGATGTGTGCATGCTAACTCTCACCATCGCAAGGCTCGTAATTAATCGCCGCCGTGCGTCTCCACCGCAGGCTGCGTATTCCTTCTTCCGGTTGATCGTACCTGCTCATGGCGCTCCAGGGCGTGGATGAGATTGTGCGCGGCAAACTCTTGGTTCGGATATGGGAGCGCTTGAGAGGGCCGATGGTGATGAACCAGGACGATTTTGCATTCCACCAGTCGAAGAGCCGTCTCAGTCTGCTTGATTCTCCATGCTCAGCATTGCAAGATGTGTCGGTAATGTTGCCCTCTGTGGCAGCCTGTACGGTCCGACCATCCTATAAAAGGTCCCGCTCCTGGCAGCCCTGGAGGTATCCGGGACTGCGCCGAAGGGCAGTATTGAATGCACTGCATGAAACGGCGTATTGTGACCGGAGCGCGTCAGTCATTTCACACTTCGGATAATCCAGGAAGTTCGCGGGCTTGAAAGAACCGGATAGGCGAAGCTGCGGCGTCGATCTACCGTATGTAGCACCCCAAGGCTTGTCTAAAGTTGCGCTGAGCGACAGCACTCGGGCGGGCAAGACTGCGTTATCCTGTAGTGTCTTGTCACAAATTGAAGTTGCTGTTGCCCCCGAGCTCTACGCAAAGCCTAGGCCGCCGCAAGTCGGACAGTGCGGCATTAGCTCTTGCAGCTGTCGAGGTAACTATTCAACACCCTCAGCCCTCACATCCTGCGCGAGGTATCCCTTTGAGGTTAGCAACAAAGCGACACCGGCGCATGCTTTGCTCGAGTGCTACTCTATTCATCCTGGCATTCGGAAGCGTAGATAAGGCTGGCTTGGCCTTTTGGGGGGGGGGGGGGGGCCTGGCCCCTGCTACGGTCTTGAAGTAAGATCGCATTTCGCTTTGAAGGTTCGAAGCCCTGCGGCAAATTTGCTTTCGAAAATATTGATGCGTTGGCAGCGGGCGTATGTTGGTTGAATCCTGCTTTGTTCCCTGCGTTTGCCGTGGGCGAGTCTGGGCGTAGAAAATCGCTCGATATGGGCTCAGCTGCTGTGTTGTTTCCGTCCAATCAAGATGGAGCAATGCCGCCCACAAGCGCTGTTGTAGTGGCACCGATCATCAACGCATGACCTCCCGGATGCTGCTTTGTTCAGCTCGGCAACCATGTGTCGGTGCATGTCAAGCCTGGAAGTCATTATGGATGTTGCCGTAGCATTGATTGGCGTTCAGACCATATTGCGCTGCGTCCGAGCCGGCAGTAGCCGACACGAGCAGCAGACATTGAGCCAAGGTGACTTCGCTTAGCGGAAGGTCCGTTGCTTCCCAAGAGGCACGCTGAAGCTGCACAGCTCCGAGGCTTCAGAACTCCAAGTAAGAGCCAGTTCAACAGCACAAAATCGGCGGCAGCATTCGACAGAATGAACATTTGATGCGCCGAGGACACCGCGGCTCATGGTCGGCGTGGTGGAGCGTGAGCAAAACAAACCTGTATCGATACTCCCAGGAATGGTTACAGCAGGTTGCTGGAAGTACCAGCCAACAGTCTCGTCGGCTTGCCCACAGAGTGCAATAGTTCTCGTCCGCCTAGACTTGATCTGAGAGCAACATTTGCTGAAGTCTGCAGCCATTGCTGTCGTCGGCTGGTTAACAAATCGATGCTCCACAGCCGTTGAGGCCCAGTCCAGTCGCTCTTATCAGCCAAAGGGACACAAATCGTCGCCAATGGACAGATTTCCCCTGGAATACGAACTTCCGCATCAAGTCCAGGTACTGAACCGCAGAAGAGCCGGACCAATATCTCAAAGATTCGTTCTCTGCTGCACCCTCTTCGCGCCCTACGACGCCGACGCTAAAAGTATCTCCCGGGTGTAACTTCTCCGCGATAGCGATGATGGTCGAGCAAGCGATGAGAGCAGAAGAACCGCAGATATCGTCTCTATTCCAGTGGCAGTCTGTCACACGTCAGAGCGGAGTGCCATGTCGTAAAAGGTACCAATGGCTGAGAAGCAAGCCGTGATGATGTTCAAAATGCGAACAGGTGCAAAGCAGCCTTGCGGAGGAGAGAAGTGCCGGACGTGGATTCGCTGCCGCTATCTTGTACTCTCTGTTGCATGTCAGCCGGATATCTTGTCTGTGTAGGCATAACCTCTCCGAGGCTCTTGAGGCTGCCGCTTGCGGGTGTGGTGTACGGCAGGCTCTGTGGGCTCCGAGCAGATGGAGTGGCACGATATTCGTGAGAAGAGCGCAAGATGGCCTCTCGCTCTGTGTCCATTGTGTAGCCTTGAGCTCCACGCAGCAAGTACGCTTTACCGCCTCTTGTGTTCCCCCCCATGATTCATTCTTTCCGTGGTGGATGGCTCTCGTGAGTCGGTGATGAAGGTCGACAGAATAGGTAGCGTGGGCGGAGAGAGCCAAACGGCAGTGGGTCTGTGCAAAAGATCGCAAAGTCTGGCATTGGTGGAGGCTGAAGAGAGCATCGACACGCGAAGAGCCCATAAGCGGGAGTATCTGAGGTGAAGGTCCAGAAGATGTTGCATTCCCCTCTCCACTGCAGAGGGTGTGCTCGTGATCTTGCTCTTGCTCATGCGCTGGTCTAAATATCCGGGCAAGCTGAGAAGCTTCAGGCCCTCTGTCAGAGCCTTCTTTGGTGAGCACTGTGGTAAAAGAGGTGACGCTCTGCTCTGCCGATCGTTCTCGGCTTGCGCTGATTTTGAAGTGGTGAGGTTCTGATTGGAGAAACGTCCCTCTACTCCCGGAACAGATCGGCTGCTAGCTCTGTAAGAGCGTGCTCTCGATGACCGGTACCTGGGACATGAAACATTTGCATAGGTGCCAGCTGCCTGACACATCTGGAAACGCTCACCTACGCCGCTACGGCTCCTTTGCGTAGGCTGCGACTCCATCCAAGTCTCACCTCCCGCATCATTGCCCTTCTCTGTCGCCTGATCCAAAACAGCGCTGGTGTCTCCCAACCTCATTCCGTCGCGAATCTTTCAGAAGCAGTGACGTGCCTGATCAGGCCTATCATGTGAGAGACCTCGCGCGAGCTTGACAAGGAGTCGGGGATCGTGAGATCGTCAAGTGATCGGGTTCAACACTGTTCGCTGGCTCGTGGTAGGCGGCAGGATGATAAGAGCATCGAGCTGTAGTGAGCCGAATGTGGTGGCTGCTCTTTCTTGATGACTGAGTGTCGTTGTTAGGGTGTGACAAGACTGTGCTGCTGCCCTCGGCAGGCTTAGCTGAGGTGAGCCTCGGAGAAGGAGATTTGTTGCATCGAAGCTTCTGCAGCAGATATCAGCGCCTGATGGTTTCAAGAATCAAGACCGGCAACGGCTGCGGCAATCGATGCCGAATCCGAAAGTCGCCCTCAGAGCCGCATCTGCAAAATCAGCCAACAGTCACAGGCGAGCATCTCCTCTACCTGCTGGCTTCGGCCGCGCGAAGCGTCCGAGACGAAGAGGAATGCCTGCATCCTCGCTGCGATCTTGACTCTCCAAGAGGACCTCTTGCCCCTCGTTTCCGGGCCAGTCGGCTCGTGGAGTCGTGATCAGCCGCTCGGGCATACAGCATGGCCGGTATTCGACGAAACCGCCAAGGTGTCAACAGGATCTGGTAGGCAGTCCCCCAGGTGTGTGTGAGATCCGCGCCGCCGCATCTTTTTCTCTGCTTGTAGCATCTCTGCCGCATACACCTGCTGTCTCTAAGATATACATGTAACACCTCCTGATGTTCTGCCCATCTCTTTCCCTGCGCTCGCTGGCAGGAGAGGACCTCGCGAGTCTCAAGCCCTGCCCTCGGCGTCTAACGGCGGTGCGAGTATCACCGTATCGCCGTCTGATGGATGCAGCATTCTGCTTGTGGTGGATGGTAGACGGGGAGTGTCATATTCTGGGCTCGAATCGGGGTTGTCAAGTTGTCGGCTTGCAGTTGCACTGCCAGCGTCAGCTGGAGTGGAGAAAAGCTCAAGGAAGGCAGGATTCAGGATCGGGCAAGCTCCGAGTCCGATACCGACCATCCTATGCGTACCAGGGGATCTCCACAGGACTGAGAAACACTTGTAGCTGTGAAATGCGCGCATCGCAAATGCTTTCGGAGGAGTGTGCGGTTTGTGAGCTGCTGTACGAACGAGATGTTCTACCCACGTGCGAGCTCTTGGATAGTTTGGCAAGACTCACGAGATGCCTCTTATGCATAACGTCAAGTTGTTGCCAATGTTGTCACTGCTGGAGACCAGCGTGTCGGAGGTTGGTGATCTTCAACGTGATGCAAGGCGTGCGCGAGATCTTGCAGACGCATTAACCTCCTATACCGCTCTCTCTCGAGCGTTTTCTCTCCTTGTCCCCTGTCCGGGAAAACATGCGCAGATGATTAACATCATCGCCATGACGAAGGAGTAGAATAGGGTGTGCAAGTTACAGCGGATGCCGATGGAGAAGAATCGTGCATTGCATACTCAATCCCCGAGGGGGTGACTTGGTGCTGTGCTCGCGTTTCAAGTTCGGCTGTAGTTCCCGAACTTGAATCCGCGCAGCGCTATCCGTCTGCGCGACCATTTGCACGTCACTTTCTCGGCTCAATCCGTGACACACCGCGTAAAGGTTTGCAACTCGAGAGACATATATCACCGCAACAGTTGTCACCTCACAGCAATGTGCAAGTGACTGTCACGAAAGTCTGAGGGCACCCGACGTTGCCGCCCGGTATCTCAAGTACGGGAGCTGCCGTTGTCGGTACCGAACCTGGAAGGACCTGCGTTTCACGTACCGTGAAATTCATCGACTGCCTATCCAGTGTTTCAAGTACGGGACCGACCGCAGCCGATACCGAACCTGAATCCCGCCTTGCGACCTCGAGCTCAGGCCCCGACTTAACTGCCATGTACTGGCCGCTTCGCGACATGCCGCATGTGCCCGTGATAGTACATTGCGCTTCGAATGAAAACAAGACTTGTCATTGTTCTGAATCGCAGGACAGAGTGTGTGGTTGTGTGCAAGGCATGTAGTAGAATTCTCGCCACGTCGGTTGGGATGACCGAGCAAATTGCGACCGAGACTCACTCGAGAGAGGGGCTTTGCTTTGCGAGTCGAATTGCGATATTCGTATACAGGCAGACTGTGCGCCGCAAACTCGGGATAATCGACTTCTCGCGGACGCATGCGATATCAGAAAAGCGCGTCGTGGGTGTGCGTATAGGCATGGCCGTGTCGCATTGTTTGGCGCCCGCCAGCCGCAGGCAACAATCCCGGCAGAATCAATTCCGCTCCTGCTTCCGCCGGCCCCCCGAACTTGATACAGCGCTCACCAAATTTTGAACAAGATGAAAATCTCAGCGCCTTACAGTCAGCATTCGCGCGCGTTGCATTGAAGGGGCGTCTGCCACCCAGCACGAACGACTAATAGTTCCGGCGACTGCATGATGCCAAGTGTAGGTTTCTGACATTAATACCCACGAGATGTCACTTCTCTCAAGTGTAGCATTCCAAGGATGCACTGCTGCGAGGTTGATGCGAGTCGGAAGTCGCATCGCACGCAGCCAGGCCGCAGTGGGGCGGGTGCGTGGACTCGTCAAATCCAAAGTACGCATGCATGGAATGTATCTGCCATTTAACACGACAGCAACCGACATTCTTGCTCGCTCTCGCTATCGAATGTCATTACGGTGTACTATTAAATGGCTCCCGGAGTTTCCCTGCGACGTGGAAAGAAGTTGTGAAGCTGCGACACCTCCGAGAACTCGGTTCGGACCGCTTATCCGAACCAGGTTCGTCGGGCGCAAGAAGATGAGATGGCCTCGACGTCGAGTGGCCCGCCGCTTGAAATCATAAACAAGAACAACGATAAGGATAGACAGGACCAATCCGCCTGCACGCGTGCTTGATCATTTTCATGGCTCAGTCTTTCCTTCTCTCCCTGTCTGCTCCCCAGGCGCTCGCTGGGTCATGCTTTGAGAGAATTACATGCCCATCAAATTATAGCGGGGTGTCGCATCAAATCTTGATATGCGGGGTGGGCGAAGCGCTGCTCTCGCGAGAGATTTCCGACGGAATTCCTGGAAGGAAAAGCCCTAGCTGCAGCGGGCATATGCCAATAAAGATTTAATGGTTGCGTCATGAAATTTCGGTGGGGTCGGCGAAGCGCGGCTTTCCCGAGAGTGCTCTCCAGCTGGCAGCTTGCTTGCTTGGGAGGGCTGCCAGGTTGTGAGAAGGAGGGAGATTATGGGATGCTGTTACAACATATCTGCAGGTGTTCTGTTGTCCATAGAATGTCCGTCGCTCTGATCATATATGATCGGTTCCCATGACTCCATGTCTGCCACATTAGCAACCTCCTCTTCTCCACAGTCGAGTGCGCTCTGCAGACCTCGACGCTGGTGTCTTGTCTCGGAATCGATACTTTATTACCTCCATGCTTGCTCCATAATGCTTGCCTGCGCCCAACTGTCCAGTTTCTCCCATAGCTGTTAACACCTCTTTCAACAATGGCTTGTCATTCGGGAAAGGTCAAGTCGACCTCATTCCAGAGCAACGACTGGCCTGGAACCGATCCATGGCTCAATACTGCACAAGGAGGTATGCATCAGTGTTCGAACAAGGAGGAAACGTCGGAAAGGGTGTCTGTGGACATACCAATTCAAACATCTGGGCATCCGCCCGAAGAAGTGGTCCGCATCCAGTGCTCTGCTCTGACAGAGGGAATGGACCGTGAAGTTGCACCGCAGGCAGACCTCTTCGGCCATGGCGGTGGTGCCCCTGGGCTCGAAGCAGACGCCGCATTCTGTCAGCTCGCGGTGGGATCGCGGAGTACGTGCTGGCGGTGGTGGTGATGCTGGTACAGCTGCAGAAGCGGCTTCCGGAGTTGGATTGCGCTCCCTCGCCGCCTCCGCGACCGCTGCCATTGGATCTTCCTCGTCCATGTCCATGTCCATGTCCATGTCGAATGGTGATGGAGACGGTACCTGATCTTGAAATGCTTCCACTGTGGCCGCAAGCGCAGCTCCGCGAATAGTTCCCACGATCTCCTCGTCTTCATCCTCATCCATGTCCGCATCCCTTTGTTCGTCCTTGTTCGTGTCCATGTCAGATGGTAATGCCGATGGTGACTCTGCCTCCTCTTGGCGTGCTTCCGCCATAACAGCCATGGCAGCTCCGCGGGGAAGAACAACGATCTCGTCATCGTCATCCTCTTCCGTGGCCGCTCCCACCTGGTCCTCCATGTTCGTGGCCATGTCAGACGGTGATGCCGCTGGTGACGCTGCCTCCTCTTGGCGTGCTTCCGCCATAACAGCCATGGCAGCTCCGCGGGGACGTACAACGATCTCGTCATCCTCATCCCCCTCCGTGGCCGCTCCCAGCTGGTCCTCGTTGTCCATGTTGGTGCGTAAAGGCAATGTCGATCCCGCCCGCTCGTACCGCGCTGCGGCTGCACCGCCACGGGGAAGAACAATGATGTTGTCGCCAATGTCCTCATCCTCAGCTTCCCTATCATCGCGCGCCTGAGGAACCGCTTTCTTGGCCATAGCCTTTCCCAGCTTCTTCTTCTTGTTGGCAGCACGCTTCTTCTTCACTCCCGCGGCTTGTAGGAGCTGATCGGAGGCATTGGCGCTTGCCGTGTTCGTCTGGCTCGCGCGATTGGTGGTGGAGGAGCGCAGCGCGTACGGCATGCTGGGCTGGCTGGAGGAGGGCTCTCTAGGGAAAGAAAGATGTGCGAAAACGATGTCGCATGAATTGAGCAGGTGCGAGTCGTGCTGAGAAGGTATTTTGCCCAGGAAATGTGGTGTTTGAGGGCGTTTGGCGAGCTCAAAATTCGACAGCGGCTCGGCGTCCGCCGTCGGCGTCAGGCATCTCCGGCTTCCGCCCGCACAAGTCGCGCCTGAGGCATCACCGCCAGCTCGAGTAAGATTGCGCCCAGGCTGGTGTCACCGCAGTGGACTCGACGGGAATGCGCATGTCGTCGCAATGCATTCGGAGCAAGATGGTCCTGGTCTGAGATCGGTCGAAGACGTTGCGAGGAAGTGTCAACGTGGATACTTCCAGGCCTCGTTATCAGAGTCCATCACCGGTGCCGTCAGCGCCACGATGCGGATACAGAGCGTGCCGTTCGAAAGTTGGGTGCATCATGATGATGGGTGGATGGGTGGATGGATGGAGAACGGAGAGCGGAAGCAACGAAGATGGGGAAGAAGAGGAGGAGGTGAGAAGAAAGGCAGGCAGAAGCTAAAACGAGATCAGAGTTTGAAGGAGTCAAGCCAAGAATTTGCTAGCTCGTGCGATGGTACGCCGCCATTTGATTCCGCCGAGGGCATGATGGCCCGCCAGTCCCGAGGGCATGTCCAACCCGCCAGTAAGCAGCCGACTTCAAGCTCGGCTGGGCCGCCGATCCTGGATCCGGCGCACCAAGCTGACGCAAGCTGAGACAGTGAGCAGGAGCTTTCAAGTTCGGTCGGTCGTCCGATCCTGAAACGGTGAATGGTCGCGGAACCCCAACTCCGCAAACAGCAGGAACATTCATTCGATCCTCGCCACCATGCTCTTGCTACCTCGACAGGTCACAGGCAGTATCTCTGCCAGCATTATGACTTCGTCGACCAAGGATTTGGCCATTAACCGATAGAGCCTCTGAACACGTGGCCACTTCGCAGAGACTGGATAGTAATACGCACTAACATGTGTAGACTTCGAGGTTTTCTTTTCTCGAGGGTGGAGGACCTCCGATCCATCACCAGGTACCCAAGGAAGATCAGGCAGTCAAAACCTGAATAGGTACATTTTCCACCTGGTACCGCCCACCTCTCCCGAAGTCCGAGAAAACCAAAAGAACGAAAAGCTCTAGGACGTCATGTATACCAGTCAATATGCATGTCCACTTGTCGCCGACGAGCCGAGCACGCAGTATATCGAGAACACGTCTCAACTCCGGTAATAACAGCTCCGGATGCCCTTCTTGTCTTAACTCTTACTGCTAGCGAACCATCGCTCGCGCAAGCGTAATCGGGAAAGAGACTGAGAGAGGACCAAGAGCAAAGGAACCAGGTTCAGACGCCGTACACATCTACTTACGTAGTTTACCTAGCACGAGTTCAAATAACAGGGACTCTTTTGCCTTAAGGGAATTAAGGTACCTAGTAATACCTGGTGGGACCGGTTACTAGGTGGCTCACCAGACCTGTACCTGTGTAGAAGGTACCTGGTACTACCTAGTGGGACAGGCTACCAGGTAACTTACTAGACCTGTACCTAAGTAGGCAGGTAGCCAAAACCCACCTGGCCAGTCCTGGCACCATCGATAACGTCCAAGCAGAAAACTCACGACGCCTCCGCCGCTGTCTAACGAACTCGGATGCTATACGACACTATACAAGCTGATGAAATTCCATCTCCTTGGCGGTATCTGTTGCGATTGTCCCATCTCTAGGAAAGTCCACGAAAGGAGCCTCACCCGAACCGGGAATGTAAGTTCGGCATTCGACCTTGCCTCCAGTGTGCATTCCAACAAGGCGGAAGACCGGTCCTAGGTAACAAAGAACTTTCTACCCTTCATCGCACGCATCAAATCATAACTTATTAGCTCTACCTCCGGATCTTTTCTCGAATGCCACCTCCTAGATCTTTCGACGAATGGATCAGGGCGCTGACTACAATCAAGGGTAGCGATCCGATCCATTATTATCCTCGAAAAGGCTACACAAAGCTTCGATTCAGACATGGTACATTCGGCGTGATGCGGATGTCGGTAGCGTATCCAGCCCGGAAAACTTGACTCTAATCGGTCAAGAGGGAATTGTTAGGCTGAGTCTCGACACTGGAAAGATTTGCTGGGCATGAAGAGGGTGAAGCGTGAAAAGACGGCAGGAACGGCGCATGCCGAGATTCTTGCCGGAATGACTTGTTGTGAGGATGGTCCCATGGCAGCAACGTCGAGGCTCACTCGGCCGAAGCTGACTGAAAGAAGCCGAGCTGTGGACGAGATGTCGAGATCTCGCCTGCTCGCTTGGCCTGCTGTAAGAGTAAGAGTCTGTGAGAGTCTGTGAAGCTGGGAGATCCGTGGTGGTTGTAATAAAAAGTGATCTTTCGGGACACTCGCGATGTGTGGAACGGAGAAGAAGCAGGATGCAGGCAATGAAGTCGGTCAATGCGCTGGTGCTGAAGCAGAGGAATTTTAAGTCTATTCGCTGTGAATATCGCTCTTTGTAGGAGGGCTGAGTCAAGAGTCTCGTCGAGGTGGCTCCAAGGGAGCATCGATAGCAGAATCCAACTCAGACGTAGTGTGAAGCTGCAAAGGCCTGTCGGAGGGGAAGGAGAGCACAGGGGGCTTCGAGCCAAGGCAGAATGACTGGACGAGTCGCTCGATGGCTCTGCTCTGTATCCTGTCATGCTGCTGTGGTTCCGAATTCCAATAGGTCGGAGTCTAACGGGCAGTGCTGGAGAAAACGGCAGTCTTTGAGGAAGGGGGATGCGGCCAATCTCGTACTCTGTGGATAAATGCATGGCCGAGAGGTCGTGGCGATGATGCCGCCGCCATCGCAGTCGCCGTCGCCGCTGGTTGCTAAGCGGCGGAGGCCTTTGTCGTTGATTGGGCGATGTTTTGTGTTCGTGAACTGAGCGATAGGAGAGACCTCGAGAAGATAAATGGTAATGGCGCTATCGTAGTCGACAGGCAGAACCATCAAGTGTGCCCCACGACAATGCTGCGGCGATGGCGCAGTGGGAAGTCGGACGGTACGGATGAATCGTGAAAGCAACAGTGATCAAGAACGCGAGGAAGTCTGGTAATTTAGCTCAGTGTGTGTATGTGCTGTTTCGTTCCGGGGTCTGTGGCGAGCTAAGCGACAAGGGTGTGATGATGTAGTCGTGCTCGGTATGTTGAGTGGAAAGGGGTTGCGAACATGGAGACGACGTCGTTAGCGTTTCCAGCAACGAAAGGTGACGAAGCTGTACTCTTCAGCAAGTCGAGGTGTAAGGTGTTGTGCACGTGGATGTAATGATCTTGACGACCGCGGCAGCTGGGTAGAGATGATGAAGCCCATGTGCTGAGAGAGCCATGACTCAAATGACGCCTGCGGATCTGGTCGTGATAGTCGAGCGGAGGAAGAGGAATGAGGAAAGAGGAAAGGTTCCGATCGAGATTGCGTGGCCGAAGAGGTGTGACACATCTGTGCAGCCAAACATAGGTCGGGTTATGAAGAAAGAGTCTCTGTTCACCTCAAGCTGCCAGAGTCGCTAGGAGAAGCTCGGTGCATGGCCATCCTCGCCGTGAGCCATTGTGGGTGCCAAGACAGTGCGGAGACACCGTAAGAAGGCCATTGTGGACGGTAGTTGAGCTAGAGTATCGTAGGAAAAGAACCGAGTGGCTGCGATAAGATGCTTGTCGTCGAGAGAAGACTACGCGGAGGTTGACAGACTGCCGCCCCGTTGCATTGATGCGGCCATGGTCGAAAAGAGGGTCGTTGGTGGGAAGATAGGTTACCAGTGACAAGTTTGATCTAACACCGCTGACGTGAGAGTTGGATGTGTAGCCGCATTTCTCCTGGGACAGGACCTTGCTGGCAAAGGGGAAGTTGGTGAGGAAGGTGTGCTTATCGAGTCTTATCCATCACCGAGAGAGAGTGCATCATCGAGGACGACTACATCGTTGAAGGGCCCTCAAGTCTGTCGACTGTTTAAAAAACCTGTGGGCAAGGAGTACCGAACATTTTGTGCGGTCCTGCGAGTAACACAAGGTCTCGATATTCCGCGGGGGTGATATCAAGAAGTTTTGGGGCTGTACAAATCGTCAAAGGTGTAGAGTGAATGTCGTTCATTGAGAGGAGAGAGATGGTGGTCGTTGTTGAGTGGTTGCTGCGCAAATCGCACGCCGCGGCGAGAAGGATACGGTAGGTTGCTGCGACAATCTTTGTGCATGCAAGAATGGTGTGAGCTCGAGCTGTTGTGTGCATTGTTACCCGCGGCAACGAGGAGCAGAAGGTCAATGGTAAGGGCTCGGCATCGGGCAGATTAGTGGCTGAACATGATGGCTGAGAATGCTGCTAGCAGTGCCCTGCAGATAATAGATCATGCCAGTTGATGAGCGAACAAGGATCAACTGGGCATGCATCGAAGGGATAAGAGAGTGAGGGGAGGTGCACTCAATCTCCATTTGGAAATTATCGCTCGCTCCATAGTGTACTACCACATGAGTGAGCTGGCGATGCTGTGGCTATCAGCGAGGTGTGCAAAAAGGGAACAAGGGGACAGGAGAGCAAAGATCTCGGATTTGACTTAGTGAATGTGACTCAAGAGTTGCAATATCGAAAGAAGGTGAGAGCAGGAATGAGTCGCTGAGCCTGCAACCGCTGCGTATGGGGGATATGACGGAGTGACGGTCCTGACGGAGAGAAGAGCCTGAGCGCCATCCCATGATTGGCGCCTCTGCGTTGCTGTATTCAAGAAGGCGGCGAAGCGTCGGTGATTAGCGGGCCACGCATCGAGAGATGAGGGAGTGACGGAGTGGTGCGAGTGGAGGGTGAGGTTTCCACTAGTGATGATCAATCGGTTGGTGCTACATCTAGATGAGATGTTGAGACTGCGGCGGCCAGCAAGAACCATCGCGTCACAGGAAACAAGTGATGAAAGGCAGGACAAGCGACGCCGTTTCAATGAATATGTTCTTCGGTCGTTCTGTCGGTGCCGCACTTCCGAGGGTGAGTAGACAGGTGAGGTGGCCGTGAGGAAGGTATGTATAAGGTGAGCATATATGCGATGAGGAGGAGGAGAGGTGACTGAACTGGACATTGGTTGTGTTCCTGCCGTTTGGTCGTGCGGACGCCAGTGGTGGAGTGCCGCCGCCGCCGCCAGCACCAGGATATCTGTCCGTGGGATGCCCGTTGGAGGCAAGGAGACATGCTGGTGCGGCAGCGGCGGGGATGTCAATGTCGCGAAGCCTTGATCGGGATTTTGAGCACCGGAGCGGCGAGCGTTGTACTGAAAGGGACGCGTGTGAAATTGAACGAGTGATGAGGGTGGTGGAGGTGAGGGGAGAGTGTGGATGCAGAGGAGGAGGAAAGCGGAGAGGAGAGACCGGGGAGAGAGGTGTGGTTCACGACTCGCCGATGATGCCAGCGGGAGGAGATGTACTGCAATGTCCGGAGAACGTGATGCACACCAGATGCTCAGTACTGTAGCAACTCGAGAATTGCAGTAGATGCAGCGCAGTCGGCCAGTCGGATTAACATGACGACGTACTTGTATGGAAGCCGTACCGGGCATCCACATGCTGGCGCAGTTCCTTGCAGTGGAATGGATTCTTGGCGGGGGTGAGTGGGTGACATATGTCCTACAGCCCGAAATCGGATGAGGGCAACCAGCCGTCGCAATTCCTCCCTTACCACGGTCGCTGCTTTCTGCTTCACCGAGGCACCAATACAAGCGCAAGAGCTTTGGCTCAGTGGGTAGACCATCTTTCAATCCCCAGTATGAAGAAAACGCATGGCCTGAAGAGAAGATCCTGCAACCGTGGAGAAGTCGAGACCTACGTCTCTCTTCACTCAGCATGTTACTGAATGTCGAGGCATTCATGGCTCGTACGTGGAGATTGTAGACATGTTGAAACTGCGCAGATGCTGGCCAAGGATGCTGGTATCCGAAGCGTGTATCGCCAATTGATTATTGTTCTTGAATTCGCTTTCTGCGCGGCACAATATCACGACCTGCCATTGTCCGCGTACTCCCGCATCCCTCCTCTTCACCCAAGACCGTCGATCGGTTTGCATTGCGCTGACAGAACGGAGCTGCGTATGCTGGTGGTACGATGTCGTTTGCTGTCCGTCCTCCACATCTGGCAGCTGGGGAGCGAGCGGAGAAGATTGATTCTGAATTGAACGGAGGTGCTGACTTGACAGTGTCGGGCGCATCGCCGTGCTGCTTCGGTCAGAGGTGAAGCGTGATATCTACGGCAGTGAGTAGTCATGTGTAGCGGCAGGGTCAACGAGCGAGGGTTGAGAGTGTGTGAGCGACGCAGATGGAGTGAAGCAGAGAGTGCGCGCGCGCTGCAAGGAATCAAGTTCGGCAGTGCCTCCAGGTTCGGCTTGGCTTTCAAGTTCGGCTTTCAGGTTCGGCGCGGTCTTCCGAACTCGAAACAGCGGGCCGCCCGCTTCCGCCCTGCCGCCCCGCTTTCGATCTCCCCGGACAACGTGGCTGACTCGGGTGTCTGTCTTTGTTTTCGTCCATCACCAACGCACACTATCATCACTGTCATCACCACCATTATCATCACCCATCATTCGTCACGATGCGAACGCGCTCGCCGATACCATCTCCGTCTCCTCCGCCGCGCCGCGCACGCTCCGACATCGTCATCCGCCATCCGGGCTGTATTTCCGCCAACATCCTGCTCACCTTCTGCGCGACCGACGACGTGGAGGATGCCATCCCCGACACTGTGGCCAGCGGTAATCGCAGTGTTGAAAGAGGCGTCGCATGGGATGTGGTATACTGGGCATGCGCCATCGTTACAGGGAATCGCTTTGACTGCTACCTCACCAGAACGAGCGATCCTGCCGCCGAGCGTGTCTGGCGCCCGTCGTCCGGCGTGTTGCCCAGCGGAGACTACTGGCTTCAGGTGCCTCGTGGAAATGCGACAGCCTCGCTTCAGCAACTGCCGTACGCAATCGTGCCAAACTTTCGAAGCTGGACATTCCCGATGGCCCACAACTTTGAACGCCTGCTGCGTACAACTTGGTCAGACAGCATCGACGATCCTGGACTCACCCATGAAAGTGCCAATCCTCTCCGAATGGCTGTACGATCTCGCGACCAGAAGTGCCTCGTCACTGCATCGAACTTGCCGCTAGAAGTGGCGCACCTCATACCTACGGCTGAGGAGAGCTGGTGGCAGCGTCATCAGTTCTCGCCAGGTCTGGACAGCGACGTCAACTGTATTCTGCTTCGTCAGGACGTACATACCAATTTCGACGCGACTCGCTTCAGCATAGTCCCGAAACCGCTCCATTCGCCTTCCACCAAATGCGCTCCTACGATACACGTCTGGAGTGACGGAGATCCCAAGTACCACCAGACATGGCACAATCTTCGTCTTCGACAAGTCCGCGGGATCGACCCCATGCGCCTCTTCGCCCGCTTCGCTTTCGACGTCTTCCCCATGTTGCGACCTTTCCTTCAGGCTGGCCAAGTCCGACGTCTCCTGGTGCTCGACGAATTCAACTTTCCGCAGGCGAAGAGCTGCAACGGTGAACAATGCAAGGAATACTACGAGCAGCGCGTCAGGGGCAAATCTGGCAGCCCAACCAAGAGAGCCAGGCCCTCAGCATCCGTCGACAGGCAAGATGCGCACGGCAGCATGCCGCGCAGCTTCGACTCTGGTATTGGCTGGCGTTGGGAGGAAGAAAGTGAAGGAGAGCTTGAGGATAGGAATGAAACTGAAGTGATACCGAGAGGCGAAGATTGGCGGTACACAACCGACGATATTGCAGCAGAGCATGAGCTCTGGCAGCTCGAGCACCGGGGAAAGCGGAAGCGGCACAGGCAAGAGGAGTGGGAGGAGGACGAGGAAAATGATGCGGCTGCAGAGCAAGAAGAAACCTCTCGCGGTCGATCGAGAAAGAGCAAGAAGCTGAACAACTATGTCCCGGAAACGCATGTTGCCTGGGCGCCTGCAGGAGGATGACAAGGCTCACGAGCCACGATGGTGGAATTGCATTGGACGTGGCTCTTCGACGCCACGTTGGACTCTGTCACGAATTGGACGACCGAGAATGACGGCTTGACAAGAGCAGAAAGCAAACAAAGCCTGCGGACGAAGACAGCGACCGGAGATCTCAACTCGACATTGCGACCCTGCTCTTCCCTTTGGGCCTGAAACGATCACACGACTGATGAGCTGTTGCAAGACATCATCGGACAACATCTCCCTCTGCGCACGATCCGGGCCAAAGGTTTCTGGAGATTCAGGCCGTGAACTGACTTGATACCGGGCGAACGAGGGATGCGGTGCGGTATGATGCCAACCAGTTCATGATGCGGGCATTGTACAGAGTGCAATGAATCAGCAGAACAGCAAGCCGCTACCCTTTCTTTCGCGATGTCATTGGATCTGGTCCGCAGTGTGCGCTTGTCCCTTAGTGGCCGCAAATGCTGGGCGAACGAAATCTGTGCGTGCCGAGGGCGAGGCTATGGAGAAGACGGACGACCGAAGAAGATCAGAGGCTGATTAAGGGCCAGACACTGGTACTGGGAGCAGGCTAAGCAGCATTCTGGAAGATGGCCTGGATACTTGGCCCTCGCAAAAGCTTATATCGCTGTGAGATACTTCACCAAATTCATGAACATTGCAAGGAACCTCTGAAACACCTCATATCTCACTGCAGTTCTTGAACCGAACTACATCTCCAAGAAAATGAATTACTGCTTCGATGCACCAAACACTAACGTTTTAATCTCATTAACGCAGAACATTCTAGGCTGCCCTTGACGCCTTTGTCGCTGGATCTGCCTGTGATACTCTCTTCCAGGTGCCTTGATTCCGTCAGTCGTAGTGGAGACGTAGTGGAATGTGTCATCCATCTGGATTACAAAAGCTTTCTTGGGATCAACCAGTAAGAGCTCCGAAATCTTGATTCGCGGCTCTGCTGGAATTGCTACGGATTGGAAAGTTGTCGATTTGCAGCTCTTGGTGCTGGCTCCCGTCTTCGCCAAGGTTGTCCTGATCGAGCATTCAGTACTGCCCGTTCCATTCCTCGGGACTGCGGGAAGGATGGTCTTTGTCTGGATTTAATGGACTGGACAATTCTTGGACTTGCTTGACTCTATCTCCGACTTCGAGGCTGCATGGTGGCATTCGTTTCCGCCCCGGTGTACTGGGGCTGATCTCTGCGGAGTATAGCCGCCCATATGCTCCAATTGCTGCTTCAGTCTCGACAAATCTCTGACCTTACCCTCGTTGTTGCAACGCTCTTCTTGTGGCTGCACTGTACTCGGTACTCACGGCGTTCGAAGGCGTGAAGAAGGAGGAGCTGACCGTCTGAGCTCAATGTACCAACAATCCCATCAGGGGCCTCGGATGACACTACTATTTGCCTAATGGTCTTGCAGTCCTTCTACATAAGGCACCGTCACAGTACATTGCTTCGTCGACTCCCCAAGGGAGCGAGCTGACTGGGCTCTGCCTGTCTCGCAGACTAATTGGCCGAATGCCGAATCAAGTATCGCGCCCTACATCGGCAGAGTCATCTTACAACCTCTCACAAAGCGTTTGCCATGATACTCGAGACCATTGGAGAGTGTATTCTAGGGCGCATTTGCTATCGGAGCCTTGGCATGGTGTTGGTGAGAAGCTGTTAGGAATACCTCCCTACAATATTTGTGCGCAGTACCTCGTATCACTCCTCTAGCACCTGGTACCGGCACTTATTCAGAACACACTTAAGGGTTCATCTACGATTACAGTCTATTCTGGTTCGGTCAGGTCAGCTCCCCGGTTAAATTACAAACCTAAACTAGGGATTGACCCGGCTTCCTAACTGCTATTCCTACGCCGTCTCTTTAAGCAGCTTACTAGACGATAATAGCGATGCTTGAAGCTTTCAAACGATCGGCAATAGATGTCGGAGATTTGACCGCTTATATCCGCTCCCGGAGGTCTCTGGAACGAGATGGCGCCTGAGACTTCGTACGGCTCTTGGACACGATACCATTTACTCGGGAGGAGATGTTAACCTCCAAAGGCGTAGGCGAGAGCTCTGAAGCAGCTCGTTAAGACGGAGATTGCCGGCACGTACGAGGCTACATAAGGAAGACGTGAAAAGGCCATGTCATCTCATATCGACAGCACCAATCGTCTTCGAACGATTGAGGGCTAGACGTCCTGCTGCATTAATAACAACAACTGTATATTAAGCAGTCGGGCATCAAATGGCTTGTATCTTACCGTCGCTTACTCCATCGGATCCGCGCTCCGTTTAGAAGTGGCGCACTGCTCCGAGACGCAAATGAGTCTTTACCCCGTGTTAAGTAGTAATTACCCGGGCTTTGGATCTTCTTTATCTCAAATTACCCTCGATTCGACTTCTTTCTACTGTCGTGTCGGGCGAGACTTAGCGTACTGGACTGGCTGCGTGCCAAGCTCTCCCAGAATCACTTGTATATCGTAGTTGCTTCTTTTACCCTCCTCGCTACGGCTACTTCTCCCTGAACGACCCGCTTAATCGCAGGATAGCATGGGCTAGTGTCATGACTCTGCTCCATGCGCAAAACGTCGGCGATACGGGATCGAGGCCCTCGACGGGTTGTTCTCTAAACATACCTGGTACTTAAAAGTCTCTTTCGATTTTGGGCTTCCGGGGAGTATTGTGTTCCGTACCAGTGGAGGACTTCATTAGCTGCTTGTAGACATCCTCGGTAGTCGGGAGAGAGCTCCTTCACAGATAGCGACCAGCACCTAATACAGGATCAGCTGTTTTAGCCTGTTTAATAATATCGACTCCGCTACCGCTTACCGGTGAAGGATACAAGGCAAAAGGCCCGGGCCTCTTTCATGTCGGATGTTTTGGATTATTGGCAATAGTATCAGTATACTCCTATTAGCTACCGCATTATCCCGGTGCTTCTCTCTTGTAGGAAGCCCCCTACCAACCTACATAACAGACAACGACACCCTTGTCATAACGACAATTTCGAGTGCAACGAATTTCGTTTCGGAATGGGAGCTACGAGTTCCCGAGAAGAATCGGAAGCGGTCAGAGGAGAGCCCTCTATATATACTGGCTTGTATTAGAACAACATACAATTCCTCGCCTCGCACAAGATAATGCCGCCTTCGTAGCCGGGAATGGAGCAAGGAGACACACATCGGCTTCCTCTCACGTCTTGGTAATCGAGTCGTAGTCCCATCAGTCAAATTGTAGTAGAATCGTTATACTCCAGGCATTGACACAAGGTCTTCGCTTCCAAGCCCCAAGCCGCAATTTTCTTTGTAGGGAGGATTCCGGATTTCCGCTATCTTTGCTACGTTGGCTCAGGGTCATCCTCGTGGTGGAAGACCTCGCAAACCGTTCTAGAGATCGACCGCCCGAGCTGCTCTCTAGGGGCTCTCTACCCGTAGGAGAAGGATTGCGTCAAACGAGCGCTTAGGAGCATTCTGGCGGCTCTTGATTTTGAGTTAGAGTATCCGCTTCGATGTCGGTCCCGATTGTACGCAATCCGATGAACCGGAAAACTCTTGGAAAGATGATGTTGTTAGCATGATATTTCATTGCTAAGGATTGAGACAGCAGTGGGGGTTTCCAGTGCAATCTTGGAGCTACGAACGCCAATCGCAGAACTGAATCAAGGCCATGCAAGCAGATAATGGTAGCATGGGCCATCATTTTCCTCACCAATTGCCGAGTCGATTCGACCATATCTAGCGGGCCAAAGTCTCATACAGCCGTGCAGGAGTCCCACGTTTCCCATCGATAGCGGAATTCAGTATCAAAGGTATACCCCGTTGTTCGAAACTGGAGCTTCGTAAGCTAACATTCATTAGCCTCAAGAATGCCGCGGTCAATTCGCCGTACTCATTGCTTCCACCTTGACATGTCACATTAGGCACAATCGCCATCTCCGATCATCGACGCAAAAGCTGCGGATCCGAAAATCCAGACCAGGATCGTCTCCCAAGTACCATGAACCGTGAGAGACCAGATCTTGCTTACAGAAAGGAAGGCCAATGAATGTGTCGAGCTCAGAGTACCAAGTTGGAAATGCGTTGCATTCAACCAAGCCTGGGGCTTAGGGGACCCGATTAGGCAAGCTATGGACCTGTCATCCCCTTCTTCCAGACGATAAGACAAATCATAGTTATGATGATAGTCGAATCGAATATAACGAAAGAAAGCCGGCCGCCCATCCCTCGTCGAAGCTCCAGGCGTCCGTATAAGCAAGCATAAGTCGAACTTTCCGCTGCTTTCTCTCACAGTAAGGTGAAGCAATCCCCAAATGCGCGATAGTATAGCAGTGGCTGCAGAGAACAACGATTACTAGAGTCGACATAGCCTACTCCAGCTTCACCTCGAACTTGGACTCCCTTCGCCCCAACTTCCGCTTTTCAAAGACTGCCTACGTCTTCCGTCTCTCCGAAGCCAGGTCTCTCTGCGACAGGCCGGCAGTAAGCATCTCGAGGCAACCCCATGGGCTAGGGCAACCGTGGGGATAGTCCAGTGTCCTCGGAGTCCCGACCATGTTCGCATCGCCGATGCCCAACTCGTCTGGCCCGGCCTATCTTTGGATTCCGTCTCTATTGAACCCGTCTCTATCGAGTTTCGTCTCTCCCAAGCTCCTTCTCTTACAAGTCTCGCCGCTTCACGACAGCGATTCGTCCTTGTTAAGCATACAGCAACGGAAACGTAGGCGTGAGGAAGCGAGTACTAGGTGGAACAGAGGGTTCCCAGTCTCTCGGCCTTGGTTTCGAACGGGTCGCCGAGCTCCTTAGGAACAATAAACGGCCTGAAGTACCGAGGAGATCAGAAACAGCGTCGACCTGCATCTGTCGTGGAGAAACCCTTTCCAGTCCTATCGTGGCTTCCAAAAGGGAGTATGGACGACGGATGACTCGCGAGCGTGTGCCCGGAGCTCGGTGTGCACGCCGAGATTCGCCTACAGACATGGGTCCGATTCCAGACCGACTTCCCCTCGTGGAATGAGTCCTGCTTCAGCCTTGGAGAGAGCGAGCCGCCTGCCTCAAGCATTAGCAAGCCGGACCGTCCCGCCGTGGCTCTGCTGTAGAGAATTGCACGGGTAATAGCATCGCCGTGGCTGGTATAAGAAACCTGACGGTCATGCTTGCAAAGTTTTGGGAGTTCCGTACTTCCCGAGTTTCAGTAGCGGAGCCGTCCACTTTTGATAGGGACGGGCAACGCTGCTATTACCTATGAGGGTCGATGAGGATCAAGGAGAGATAGGCGACCTGGAGCGGAGTCGTTGAGATACAGAGATCTAATCGTCGTACATGGCAGCAGCATCTCCACGATTTGCACTCCAGATAGCACGTTGTGCAGATGCGAGACGCTCAGTCTCGCAACCTCAAATCCAATACCCCAATCCAGAGCGGACATTATTGCCTTTCAGGACCGCACATGAGCTTGCATCTCCGCCTCCATCCCAGCCAAAGCCTCAGCGATCTCCGTAACGAATTTCCGCCAGACTTTGAGGTTCTCCTCTCCCTCGTCGATCTGCTGGTCGAGCTCACGCAGGCGATGGGCAATCGTCTGTGCTTCCTCATCCTGAAAGTTGGAATCATCCTTGGAGTTGCAATCACCCAGAGAGGGAGCATGCTGTCCGGATTGGGCGTCGTCGGCGGCGCTGAATCCCATCGTATTATTGGCTGGGAAGTGACGACAGCCCTGGTCTGCAGGCTTGGCCTCGGCGGCACTATTCAGGGGACGCTCTTCAGAACACGCCTTCTCAGCGATCTCCGGATTCCAGTCGTTGGGGGAGGAATGGTGCGGCTCGATGGGCCAAAATCTCACACTCTCCTTGTCGACACCGTCCAGCGACGATCGGGTCAGGAGAAGACGCTGCTCTGCCAGTTGCTCTGCAGTTGGGAGACCGTAGTCGCTGGGCAGCGGAGAGGGCAAGCTGGGAGAGTGGAGGGCGTCGTCGCTGGCGGCTGCGGCGGCCATAGAGCTGGCTGCGGAAGTGTAGTGAGGTAGCATCTGTGCTGAGGAGGAGGCTCCATGTTGATTGGCGCTGGCTTTGGACGTGGTGTTGGTCGTGTCCATGGGACGTAGGCTCAATGATCGGAGGCCGTCCACGAGCAGGCGTTGCTGCAAGCCAGAAGCAGGAAGTCCATTTCCATCAATGGTCTGCTGCCGGAGCGGGCTGTTTGCTCCGTCTCCAAGCCCGGGAGAAGACTGTGGGACCATTCCGGAGTTGCGAAGGGCGTCTGTAACATCCGAGTTCTGGAAGGCCTCGTTAAGGAGGCGGTAGTCGCGCGGACCTTGATGCTCAACAGCGGGATGTGGAGAACGCTTCTCCATGATGATGTCGCCCGCTGGCCGCTGGTCAGGTTGGTGACAAGCCTTCTCGAAGGCAAGATCGGATCCCGATTCAGAGCGGTGAGCCTTTGGCTGACTGTGAGGGTATGTCCCATCTTCGGGCTCCTGGTGCGCAGCCGTCACCAGTTCCCTCGCAGCCTCCAAGACCAGTCCAACATAGCTCTTCTTCAACCCTGTGAACTGCACCTGAGTATCAACTTCCTCTCTGTCGCAACGTGGGGCGCTTCTGACGAAACGCTCGACTCTCTCCACCAAGGTAAAGTTCAGCTCAGGACAAGATGTCAACTGGTGGCATGGCGGGGAGGAGAGGTTATCCATCGCTGGATCGAGCAAAATCTGGGAGGAACAGAAGTCAGCGGTAAACTTTTGGCTGGGTAGCTCGAATGGGATTTGCGTCTACCTCGGCCATGATACCTGGTATCGGGACAGCATTGTCCGCCAATCCCATGCGTCCCAGTACCTGGATGAGCCATTGTTTGATACTGTCCGGGATCTGAAGTCTCGCTCCGCATTGGGCGAGAAGCTCTGCTGCCGGGGTATGACCGGCGCCGTAGGTATGAGGGATGGAAGGTTAGCTTTGCGGACGAGTGGACGGGATCGGGGATGAGGATGACTAACAACGTCAGTGAGGTCTTGAGCCTTGATGAGTTGAATGGCGTCTTTGGAGCTGGCCATTTTGAGCTGAGAGCGATTCCAAGAGTCAAGCCAGCGTCTGATGAATGGAGAGTCTGTGCAGCCTGGCTGGATGGATTTCTCAGTCGGATGGACACTGAAGCAGAGTGCGCTGGATTGAATGAGAAGAGAAAAATGCACGTCTGATACCCTTTTGAACAGAGGCGGAGGCCTATGCCACCAGAATCGTTATCGATAGGGCGGAGGCCGATGCTGTAGTACAGACCCAGGACATTGGTTCTTCGGCGCCGAAACCGAAAGTGCAGCGTCGGAGGCCGAGGCAATGTTCGTAGGCGCTTGGATGGAGGATGAACAGTCCCGTGACAGGTTACTAATCTTGACTTTTCCCAGAATCGACCTGGCGGAACACACACTGCAGCAAGCAACCTCAGTGTCGACCGTAACCGCCGGAACTCCCACCCAGAGACCTCCGCCATGTCCGCGTTCGATCTCCGGCAAGAGCACGCTGCGCTCAAGCAGAGGTTCCAGGACGCTCAATCCAACGTCGCCGACTGGCAAACAGCCCTGGACAATATGAAAGCAGAGCGCACAGCTCTCTTGTCGCAACAGATCCGCCTCGCCATGCCGCAGAAGCTGGTATAGTATCCATTCCCCTCCACTCACATCTTCCGTGCTGACTTTGTTTCGTTTGCAAGAACTCTCGTCTTCCCCGCGAGGGCGCTCTGCTCACAGAGTCCGCCTCGAACCGCTTCATCAACCTTGTCGAGCTCGCTCTGTCCTCCGCCGCCAAAGGCTATCACGGCATGGCATTCCTCAATGCGTACAAGGCGGTAGTGGCGTATGCAGTGCCTGATCGAAGGGAGGTGTTCTTGGAAAATTTGCGTCGTTTCCCGCCGAAGGATGGGTTCGAAGAGATTCTGGCAAAAGCGGAGATGGAGGAGATTGGAGAGACCGTGGACAAGGAGGAAGAGGGGGACGAGGAGCTTTGAGGCGGATGGTAAGATATTGTGGATCGTGAGTAGAGGGTGGAGATGGTCATGGCCATTTTCACAGGTCGAGGTGGACGATTCGAAGGGTTGTGACGTTGTCTGCAGGTTTGGTATAGCATCCTGGGTTGTCAGTATTCAATTCAAGGAACACGGAGGGTTGCAATCGAACGGAGGACAGTCTACAGTATACCCAATTCCCTCTCAATTCAACTATCCAGTTCCCCTCCGCCGACGGTGGCTGCTTCCCGCACAGAGGCGTCTTCCCAGGAAATCCTCGCAACTTTGACGCAGGCGATGGGGGAAACGCATTCTGGCGTCCTTTGTATGCTGACAGCACCTTCAAACCGGCTGTGCGGCAAGAACGACCAGTCTATACTCTCAGCATCTGTATGTCCTGATCCTCCTATATGACCTTAGCATTTGGGATGTCCACATTCGATGTCTAGGCTCTGCCTCTGCTTTATCGTCCCTCACCCGACGCTCGCGGCTCGAGCTCTCCACGTGTCCCGCATCTTTCAGGACTCCTCTCTGAAGACTCCCAGAGGCAGCGCTTGTGTAGTGAGAGTCGCTGCGAGTCTCGTTGGAGTTCCGACATGTCTCGAGGAGGAAGCGGTGGGAGGAATCAGGATCTGCCAAGCTGGTGGCCGGGTGTTAGGGAGCGGCGCAGCTTCGTAGCGCAAATGATACAATACAGGAGCATGGCCAAGAGTGTCGCGGTGGTGATCAATGAGTATGGTAGCCGTGTGTGTGGATACGGAGATGGTGGTGAGAGAGATGGAACGGCGGAGCGCAAGCGGCAAGCCTCGAGGAGTGAGCAGGACGGGACCGGGCGGCACGCGCCGAACCTCGGATGAAAAATTTCAGGCAGCCAGGCATGAACGTGGAAACCCGCCTTCCGCTAGGTTTTCGGGAGTTGTGGAGATATATACAGTCTCGTGAAAGAAGCTTTCGTGACGATGGAGGCGCATTTTGACCAGCTTGTGTGGGAAAAGGATGGGACACATTGCAACCCACGCCGCGCAAAGATCTCCCAATCGCCGAGTCAGGCAGGCCAGAGGACTTTCAATCGAATTTTGGTGGGCGACGCATGAAGTTCTTGGCGGATGGTCGGAGCTCTGCCGGAGAGATGATCCGGCTGAGTCACTGGTGGACGGGACGGCGCGGCGCGGCGCGGTGCGGTCGGGAAGAGCTCCGCAGATTCTTCTCCGCGTCTCCGCGAAAATACTCCCCGAAAATAACAACGACACCACACTGCAACACCCCTGACACCATTATGCAATTTGAAATCCACAGTTCAGCAGTAACCAGACCTTGCAATACTAGTGAAAGGATCAGAAACAAGCATGACCGCAGTCATATTTCAGTCTGTCTGTCTGCGGACTATTCCATACATATTATCAAGTATCGCGGTCGTGAGATTTTTTCTTCTTTTCCAATCTTCCACCCCATCACTCATTGGTTGCCAGCTCATCATTTTGCGCAGAAGGAATCCGCTCCGTCTATCAGTCGTCATTGAGGCTTTCAGCGGTGGCATACCAAGCTCTTCCCCGCTCTTATTCACGACCGATCATGCCCTGCTCCTCCATGAGGCCCACGCCAAAAGTCCACGCATCAGCACTATTGCGAGCCTTGCGAGCGATCTTCGAAGACTCGCTCACGGATGATGCGCTGCACGAATCGAGTCCGTCTTGAGACGTTCCAAATCGCCCTGGCATCTCCGGAATGGGCGAGCGGATGCCGAAAGAAGGCAGCCGGGAAATAGTCCCATAGGGAGAGCCGTACTTGAAGAGAGGAGTCGGTGTGTCTTGGTTGAGGTACTGCTTCGGAGGAAGAGCCGCCGGAGGAACCGCAAAGCGACGAAGGCCAGACCCGGAAGACGAACCACCAGGACCGTATCCGAAGGTCGAACCGCCGTATCCGGAGTCAGCTGGGGTCGTCTCACGCTTCGACAGGTAGAGTTTCCCCTTTGGGACAGCGTCACGCTGGTTCATCTCCATCTGAAGACGGGAGTTCTCCGCTCTCAAATGCTCAGTATCGGCCTTGGCTTCTTCACGAATGAGCATGGCGTTCTGCTTCTCGTTGTCCCGCTCGCGAGTCACATTGCTGAGGAGCTGGTAGAGACGCTTCATATCATCGGTCTGCTTGGTGTTGGCTCCGACGTTGCGCTGATTGGCGAGCTCCTCGTAGGCCGCCTTCACTGCCCTCACCACTCCCTGAAGATGCTCGACGTCGACCTTGTGGGCATGCTGCTTGGCGGCGTTGGCTTTCTTGGCTTCCTTCAATTCTTCCTGCAGACGATCGACTTCGCCCTCCTTCTGGCTGAGGCGGTTGACTTGCTCTTCGTTGGTCTGCTGCTGGGTGGTGTTGTGCTGCAAGGCAGCATCACGCTCGTGGGTCAGGTTGGCGATGTTACCACGAAGCTGGCTGATGGTGGTGTGCTCCTGGGTGGCGTTGTTCTGAATGGCAGCATCACGCTCGCGAGTCAAGTTCCCGATAGCACCACGAAGCTGGTTGATGGTGGTCTGCTGCTGGGCTGTGATGTTGTTGACGGCAGTGTCACGCTCGCGGGTCAAGTTTGCAATGGACGCATGAAGCTCGTTGACGACGGCCTTGTGCTGCTCGTTGCTGTCGACAACGCCCTGCTGCTGAGAGGCTTTGGCGTCGTTCAATTGGGTATCCAAGCTCAAGACATGAGCCTGGAGGTTGCCAACCTGGAGCTGAAGGTCGTTGGCTCGCTGCTGCTGGTGGCTCTCCTGCGGGGCCATGGCGTTGGCTTGCTGGAACGGCTGCTGAGCTGAGGGAGCCTGAAGCTGAGCACTCGCACCGCCCTCGTGGATCGGCACAGCACCCTTCAGGTGGTTCGGAATGCGCATCCCATTCATCCCCAACAGGAAGTGCTCCACGGCAGTCTCAATCAGGACACGCTCCGTGAGGGTGTGGAACTTGACCTCCTCACGCACCGCCCAATCGACACCAAGGCCAACCTTCTGCACTCCATGGCTGACCTTCCAGTCTCCCGCGAAGCAAGTGGTGCTGACATTGCGCCAACGCTGAATTTCCTTGCCGTCGATACTGAACTTGTCCAAGACGGGATTGAGCTTCTCGGCCTTGACCTCAGCCTTGACCTTGTCGAGGGTAGAGCGGAAACACTTGGCGAGGAAGTCTTCGTTGCCGACGACAAGGCCGAGCTTACGGCCGAGGCGCACCAGGCGGGCGGGATCGGGCGTGTTCTTGGAGTGGTAGCCCTGCTCGGCGGCGTCCTTGATGATAATGGTGGCGGCGGTGACGGGGGTCCAGTAGATCTTGAGGTTGTAGTTGTTGGTGGTGAGGTTCTGGAACGTGCCGTATTGGTCTTCTCCGGCTTCTTGGTTGGCCATGGTTGGTAATGGAAGTCTCGGAGGATGGAAAGCAGTGGACGAGAAGGTGAGTGATGATGGGGGCAGGTAGATGTCCGAAAGGAGTTCCAAGTTGATGTCTGTATTCTTTCTGTAGATCCGGGCTTGATACTTTCTGAATTCTGAAGACGGGGGGCAACGGGGAAGGGACCAAAAACGACGATGTCGGTGGACAAGAGGAAGAAGGATGGAGATTGAAAGCAAATGTCCCTTGTGGAGGAAAGCGTCTCGGTCCTCCGAACCTCTGCCCTAACCGTCTCGGAGGGCCGAAATCGACGTTCTGGACTAAGAAGCAAAAGATGCAAGCTTCATGCAGGTTGCCGTTTGAGGGATTCGGAGGCCGAACCAGTGCTTAGATTTTGACACCTCAGGCTATATATCTTGATACCTGAGGTTTCTGCATACCGTCGAGATGGGGGATATGTGTCAGATCTTGGCATAACATTCAATCCCGGATATGGCTTCAGCCTTCGTCTCGAAGGGGGAGAAAATTTGACACCAGGAATTTCAGGCCTCAGGCACAGATAATGCGTGCTATTACATCAACAGAGCTTCTCTTTGTCTTTCAGAGGCGAGTTGGCAATTTATATACCTCTGTGAGGGAGATGTATATTTTGTCAGATGAATGCCAACTTACGGCCGAAATTAATACCCAATGATCAAAGTACGATCCAACCACATTTTGAACCTTTAAAGTCGCCACCTTAATCCAACAACTATTCCAATTTCTTTTCCAATAACCATTTCACTTCCCATCTTCCGTATGCCCACCCAGAACACCACCCCATTTCCCTAACAAACTCGTAACCTCGTTCGCAATCCTCCACCTCACGGTCTTGATCTCGTCAATTCTCGCATTCCCAAGGTAGAGCGGATTGTCCTCTTTCCATCCGATCCTGTGCAAACTCGCACTCATGGTCTCAAAGCCCTGTCGAAACTCGGTAATGTTCGCAAAAGTTGGAGGTCTTACAGCCAACACTTCCGGCGTCGTCCCACTGCAGACTTGCGGAAATCGATGGAGGAGGTATGTCGAAAGGATCTGGGAGGACCGCCAGTCGAATCCGAACGAATTTAGCATGTCTTTGAGTGCTTTGACGTTTTCCAAGCAGAGAGCTTGGAGGTCCCGCAAAGCTTGCTCTTGTGTCTCGAGTTCCATGGCGGCCCTGGATAATGTGTGAAGCTGTTGTTTTGCTCGGCTCCGCTTCATCTCACGCTCTCTGAGCGCTTTGGTGAGGCGAATGTGCAAGATATCGCTCATGATGCAGGAGATCGTCCATGGCCCGTCATCCTTCCAAGTCGACGGCGAACTGGTACTCGTGGAGGAGATCAAAAGCCCCAAGAAGCGACGATAACTCTGCCAAATCTCATCCATCTCCTCCGCTTGCTTTAGGATAGTAGCCTCCAGACCTCGAGCAGGAGCATCGATTCGTCTCTGTTGGTCCCAATTCAACATGTAGCTCAGATCGTCTTCCTTTCTGAGAAATCCAGCCGGCTTCTCGGGGCAATGTCCCTTGTCCGCTTTCTGATGCCGACGGAATTGATCCTCGATCAGAGCGCCGGGAGACAGGAGGTATCGTGTGTGATCGAGGGAACAGATCCCCAGAGCCCATGTTTGCATTGTCATGTTAGCATGCGGAATTTGGGCGTCGAGACTGCGGGTGTAGTTTGTTGCGAGCTCGGAGTAGGATGTTGGCCGCTGTTGTTGGGATGCTGGCCATAGGAGATAGCAGATGATAGCCATGATAACGGGAAAGATCATGAAGAATTGGCAGCACTTCTTCGCAGTGGCCTTGATAGTTCGGGAGAAGCCAGAGTGCAAATGCGGCTTGTTGTTTTCCAATTCCGACCCTTTCGACTGCCGCTCTGCCGGATTAGTTTGTTCGATCTCGGTGCTCCCCGGAGACTTCGACGAAATCACAGCATCTTGTTCAGTCTGTTTCTGTATTCTTGGAGCATCCGACTGCGTAGCAATCAGTTTCTCTGCTTTAGCTTCCCCGGACACTGAGGTCTTTTGGACGAAAGATCCGGGCACTGCAAGACTTCTAGGAGACGCCCCTTCGTCCATGACCCGAGTCACCCGACGTTCGACTTCGTTAAAACGTTGGGAATTGTTCTGCGGGACGTTGGAAGGGCGGGAAGCAGGCTGGCCTTCGTCAGACATATCGCTGCGGCTCGTTTGCCCGAGCTTAGAGTGAGGAAGATGTCCGCAGTCGGTCTGAGAGGTCTTGATCTGGTGCGTTGGAGTTGCGGCCGGCTGATGGGAAGGATGTTCGCCTTTCGTCTGGTCTGAGGATCCATCTTGGCCAGCACTGGGAGTCGTCTCGCCGCCTTCGCCATCGGCCGCACGACGCATTTCCCGATCCCACTCAAGCTTCCACTGTCTGATCGTTGCTTCGTCCCAAATCCTCACGGCATACATGTCGCAATCGAACAAAGCTCTCTTCGCTTTGAGGTATTTCTCTTTCAGTTTTCTTTCCATGAGCTCCATATGAGCGTCGGATCTCTCTCCGCGTTCCCTGTTTTTCAGCGGTAGATACTCTGCTTCGCACTTCTTGAATACCATGTAAGCATCTTTGAGTTCCTCTTCGGACGGCCAATACTGCGGCAGTAGCATAGACATGTTGGAGCGCTGCAAAAGCAGTGGAACGATTCAACGAGCTGAAGCTGGGGCGAATAAGAATGGAAAGGTAGGTCCGGTTTTTCTGATTAGGAGAGCAAACGGGCAGCGGGGAAAGGGGTATGTCTTGGCTTTCGGAAGATCGGGAGTGCTGTGAGACATTGTGATATAGAAGACAGCGATGAATCCGCAAAAGTCAAAGGTATTACGAATTGATTCAAGTTCCACTCGGATCAAGTGCAACGAGACATACAGGCTTGTTTGAAGTTTCGACCGACGACGGGCGCCTTCTGAGAGGCCGAGGAGGTGTCACGATAGGTCAGGTTGCACTAAGCTGTGCGGACCACATGCACCTTACTTGAACCTCACTTGAGCCGGGGAACTCCGCGGGTGCATTGCGGGATCACGTCGACTACACCGTCGCACCGAGAAGCTTCTGCAAAATCTGATCTCTACAGTTCACCGGAAATCGGAATATAGAGGTCATCCTGCTAGTCCAAAAAGGCCTGGAATAAATCAATATTCGGCGGACTACGGAGTATGGCATTAGGACTTGGTACAGAAGCGTTTGCAGTACATCAAGGATAATACAAAGCCAAGGCATAGATTAGATCTATCTATTTACCAATGCCTTCCACTTTGTCACCTCCGGCGGACCGTGATGCCTGACTGACTGTCCCCTATTCCGATCCGATGTAGAAACTTGCTCTTTGATCTCTTGCTCCAATGCTTGTGCGCGACAGCTCCAAGCAATTGTATCGTGATCCTGACGATCGCTGCCCTCACTTCTCCCGCGCAGCCTCCACGATCTTGTTCACCAATGTCTGCTTCTCTTCCCTCGCACGCTTCTGGGCCCCCTTGGTAGCCAGCTTCAAAGCTGCTACCATCTCGAGAAGGCCAGCTTCCTCGGCATCGCCATCTCCAGGGCCGGAGTAGCCTACAGCCTCAGACGTCTGCCCATATGGAGGGCATGGCAGTGGACCTGGAATTTTCTCCCCCGTACAGATATCCTCCTCCGCACCATCCCCCACATCCTGCCAAATGTCCCTTGCCTCGCCTTTTACTTGCAATCTTCTCTTCATCTTGCGCTCGTCCTCCGCTGGTGGAGGCGGCGGACCATGGTATCGCTGTATGTATTCCTCCCAGACCCTCTCATAGTACCGACTCCAGGTGTCGCCCTCTTGGTCCGTCGTCAAATCGGCCACCTCACGAAACGGAGCATCGGCCTTGCACCGGTTGACCAAACGCTCAATAACGATCAAATCGAGGGCTTGGTGTCCGGTGATTTGGTTGCCGGGTGGGGCCGTGAGGGCGTTCATGCGCTGATCGTGGAGGATCTTGGCGAGGGCAGAGGCAGTTGGACGGGATTTGCCTTTGGATGGATTGTAGGGGCCATAGGCTTCGTAGAGAAAGCTCTTAACTTCGTCGGGGTAGGCGATATTGCCCTTCTTTGCGAGGAGGTCGGCGGCCGGAAGGTTCTTGGTGCCGTAAGCCTGTGTTTCCAGAGTGTGTTAGCGAGGGAATGTGGTAATAGTGGTGGGAGCATCTTACGACGTCAGGAACTGGCGGAGCCTCCATAGTGCACGATCGGCACCCGCAAGACTCAGCGTGGGATGTTTTTGGCCCAGATTCACTATGTACGCGTGAGGAGAATGAGGAGTGCGAGAAGTGAGAGCCTGGGAGCATTCCAGCCGCCGGAGGCCAAGGGTAGACAAGAGCAAGCACCGAGATAAGACGAGAAGGCGTCGATGCCGGCTTGTTTGTTGCAGTCAAGCACTGCTCGAGCCCCGTGTGAAAGTATTGCCGCTCGATGCAGGACACCATGCAGGGCCCTGCATGAGATTCCCGCTCGTGCCGACAATGACTGTATTACCGAGCGCCAAGATTGGGCCTCTGGATTTGACTGCCATGGTAACACTTTTGCACTTTCTGCGGACGTCACATCTGCGTCGAGCCGGAATCCCGATTCCCCAAGGCGTGGTCTCTCCGCTCCACATTTGGGGAGATCGTAGCTCAAAAGCAGTGCGATTGATTAGGCAATGGGCACTCCCGCGGTTGACAATAGCTCCAGGACACTGCAAGTGTGACGTGCAGAGAGTGGCGTACCATGATTGGCGCCCAAGAGCCATGCCATACAGCGTCCCCGCAGGGGTACTCATTCAAAAGCTGTGGCGGCAAAGTGAAACTCGGGGAAGGTTGCACAGCAGCCAGTCGCTGCCACAACAGCCCCGCTCCTTCGCCAAGCGCTTGATGCAATCCGAGAACGGCATGCATGAGTGTGTAACGATCATCGGCACAACGGGTGAAGTCTGCTGCGGATCGTACTACGGCGCCTCCCTAGCGTGGCTTGAGATTGCCGCTTCCACAGATCTGGATAGTCCCGCTTCGCCAACGAGAGGACGCCATTTGCAATGCAAGCATGAAATTGACATCTCGTTATTTCTTTCTTTCTCTGATTTCTCTCTTTGATCGGACATTGTGACATGCCAGAAGTTGCTCATCTGGTCGTTTCCAAGTAAAGATACACACCGTGTGAAGCTGAAACACTTCCGACGGGTATGCGCCGTCTGCCGAAAGTGATGCGTATTTGCCGCACGACTCTGCAGAAATGTGACAGGGACCTGATGCGACACAGCATGACGGCAGATCGGCAATAGATGCAGATCTTTGTCTAGCACCCATGATCACATCTTTTCGTGGCCTTGCGTTTGGTGGCGCAGATTCCTTTGCTTTCCGCCCCGGCAAAACGTCGCATCAATGTCTGCTCCCGTACCATCATTTCGCCGCCGCTCACGGACAACACGCCTTGATACCGGCGGCAACACTGGCCGGCGGGACCAATCACCAGCTCCATAACATCAGAGCCGTGTGGATCCCTCTAGCTTTGGCAGATCAAAGTCCCGGACTCTCCCCCGCTACTTTCCTCAGTCAGGGGAGAGATTCTCCGGACTTCACCTTACCGAATCCCACTGCACATGAACACAGCCTTCTCTTTGGCCCAGCTTTGTTAACAGAAGTATCTTCAAGGCATCAAAGACCTTCCCGAGATTGGATTCGCCGTCGCCATGGCCTCCCAGCTCTCCGCCGTCAGCAAGAAGCCAGCCAGTATGTTCCGCCCTTTCTCAGTATGCAATCCCTCTGCTGACCTGACAAACAAGAAAAGCAGAGCGACTTCGAATCCAAGAAAGACTACCGCGATTACCTCGAATCCTCCCTCGAAGAGAACGGCGAGCGTAGCCGTCTCCTCTTCGAAATGGAACAAGCACTCGAGGAATTCGAAGCCGGCACTGGCCACGGCACAAACGAGGACTCCGATGCGACCAAGATCAGTAAGGACCTGTTGCGTGCCATTTCGTATCTGTGTCGTCCAGAGCCGAACTTTGAGAAGGTGGTGGATCGTGTGCAGCGTGCGCTGGAGCTTGCGAAGGACTGTCGGGATGCTGCGCGTTCTTGAAGATCTTCCGCGGTGGGGTCACGGGATACGGCTCGGTGGAAAGGAACAAGCGTTATGAGGTATTTGAGGCTGATTGCCTGTTGCCAAATGTCAGTTCCCGCCAGTTGCCAAATATCAGTTCTTGCCAGTCGGCGGGGAGTCAAGTAACAATGTTGATCTCGGTGCGCGAGTCAGCATCGCATATCGACACTTGAGCGTCCCACGCACTCGAAATTCTTTATTGCAATGCCTACCGATAAGTTCAATACCGCAAAAGCTTGTGGAACTGCGAGGGCTCCATAAAACGACCGTTCCTTGCGTTTTGGGAATGTTCGCGATCCGTATGTCTCTTGTTAACGAGCATGCTCGTTGTGGTACCTGCCATGTGTGATTACTCGCAGTAGTAAGACTTCGGACTGGTGCTTGGCTTCTTCAACCTCGTGGCTCGCAGTTCTTCGACGTGACTGTCGACGCATCACCCAGCGGTATAGCCTCATCGAACATATGAAAGCGTAATGGTGAGCCGCCGATTCTTTGCCAGCATCGTCGATCGACCGTCGAAGTTAGAGCTCCCGGGGAGCGTCAGCGTCTGAGAAGGATGGCGATGCTGTAGCAAGTCCTCGCAATGGCATGGTTCTGTAGGAATCCTCTCAGGTGCAGTAGCACCTTCCTGCAATGGCTGACATGCGCTTTCTAGTTCGGGTAGGTTCCCGAACCTGAATCAGCCAAATCCGGAAGGCGTACACAGAGGGTATATCTACCCTTTCGCTCTCATCGAGCAGGGCGGAGGTGCAGAGTGGAGCCCTTGAGTTGCTTGGACACTGCCGAACCCGTCCTTCCAAAACGTCGAGGATCGGTTCGGGTGGATTCGCGAACCTGAAACAGCCAAATCGAAAGGCATCCACAAGTGCCTCTCTCATTTTGTCGAGCTATAATAAAGCGTGTCCGAGGGATCTCTTGACTACTCGGAGCTTCTTCAGGCTACTCTCTCGAAGCTTGGGATCTCGATTCGGATAGATGTCCGAACTTGGTTCTGCTGAATCCGAACCTCCAGCAGACGAGCAGCCAAGCTTCCTTCGAGCATATCATTCACATCTTGCGAAAGCCTGTGATGGCCGACTTCGCCTCTTCTCGGTATCAATCGGTGTTTCCAGTACACCACAAAGCGCTGACTCGGGAGAGTAGAGTCGTGAACGTACTCCACCCAATCCATATGTTTGGCTGAGATTGTGCTCCGTTCCTGCATCTTTCCAATATGATCCCATCTTTGAATGGGTATATGACTCGACAGAGCAGCCACGGGATCATCCAGGCTTGGGTGTGTCCCTGAACTCGCTAAACGATTGTCGTTGGCATCTCACCTGTGACCTAGGCTGCGAATATGAGTCGATTTACTTGTAGGGCTGCGCAACCTTGGGGTCGAAGCGGATCAAATTATATAGAGATCACTTTGGCTGGAGATTTGGGCCTAGTTCTCAGTCGTTGGGCCTCGTGATAATCGCCTGGAAGCTCCAGCCTCCAGATCGGCATGTCCGCCTTCCTTGCGGGTAGTTTTGCCGGCAATGTCGATGGCTCTCGCAGTCCCATGATGAATCGCTATTCTTGAAGTCACTGCCTCGCCGATTGAGAAAGCGAGACTATAATGTAGAGCATTGCCTAGTTCGTCTAAGGCACTTATCGTTTGCTTATGCAGATAGGCTTGCCGGCCCGCTTGAACGCTTCCTTGCGGGCATGACTCTTGGCCTCAGTGGATTGTCAGGCTCCAGACGTTGTTACAGCAGAACGTAGCTGAAATCAGGAATTTCTCGAGGGAAGCGACCGAGCACCATAGCCATTGAGATTGCTTCAGGCAATCTTTGGGGTGTGGCGTTACGAGGTAGGCCATACAAAGACTCTGTCCAGATGGCTTCTGAGAAGCCGAAAGACGCCAGGACGCTAGTGATATCGACCACATATTGCCGCGGGATCGCGAATCCTAGAAGAGTGACTTAGTAATCATTTGGCCCCTGGGAGCGTGTTTAGGAGTGTTGACCGCTGCCAAAGGAATGGATGCGGCCACTGTATAGAGGGCTTGCCCGCGGTGGAAATTCATTGTCAGAGCAAAGAGCTTCCCGCTAGTTTTCAATCGCTCTTATTGGCGGATATGTTCCTTCAACGGTAAAGCCTCAGCCTCGCACGGGGAAGTTGAGCACGAGTCATACGGCGTTGGCAGCAGCAGGCCCCCTCAGCAAACCTCGTCAGCACTGACGATCGCCCTGTTTCCCATCGCTCCGCAAAGCACTTAAGACTCACCGCCTTGTTCCCCCCCCCGGTTGCGTACTCCATATTTTGAGAAGTTGGTGCGGAAACTCAAGGCGGCGACGTCTTGAGCTCCGACTCATGCCCTTTACCCCCAGCATTCGAGATTGTGGCGACGCAGTTTGAGCTGCATCTTGAGCTCTCGCGAGTGCGTACGCCGACTACTAGGGAATTCGATCTTAGTCCTCTGACTCCTTTCCTACCGGCTCTTGAAGCCGTGAGCGGTCAATCGCAGCTCCTCGTTGCATTCGAGCAGAGTTGCTCGGTGACTGAGCGCACGGTGGATGTGCCCTCGATGCCGGCAGAGGTGTCTCTCCATGATCGTCATTATTCTCCAGGAAGAACATGGAGGATTTCAACCACTCCGCACCCTCTGCAGATAGAGACGCATGCTTGCGATTAGAGGGCAAGGTCAAGGAAACCCGATATCGTAACACCATGACTCCGTGAGCGCACGTAGTGGAGGCTCCTTTCTGGAGCTGCCTTCCATGGGTGCTGTCAGGGCTTGAGTGCTGCACCAACGTATGTCGACCTTGATGTGTAGAACTTGCCTTGTACGATGTGAAGCTCCTCTCCACCTCTCGACCACTCATCGGGTACATGCAGAGTGCTAGTCCCTTCCAAAGAGTACGGAGGCCCATGATGTGGATTGAGGCCTCCTCCACTCTCTGGAATTGGCGCCAAATCAGGGCCACGACCAGTGTGCGATTCGAAGTGCCAATCCCTGTTGCTATATGGTCTTGCGACCCTTCGTAGTTGTTCCAGCCTTTCAGGTGTATGCAGGGTCCAACGTAACGTGGAGGAGAGTGTCTTTTGTCCTGTACCAAGGCTAAGCGACAAAACCCTGCAACCAAGATTTTGTGACATCGCTCTGCTCCTCCTCCTGTCCGCCGTTGTGCAGAAATTAGAATGCAGAGATTATGCTCTTCAGGTTCCTCCCGCCGCTGTGTCCGGGCTTTTTTGACTCAGTCTCCTTCCTGCCCATGACCGCTGCGCGAGTCGCATGCTCTGTCACACCATGTCCTCCGTGCAAGCGGTAGCCGACACAACTGGTAGCGCATTTCTCGAAGACTGTACATTGATGCTGTGCGGGTATGTCAGCTTCCTTTTCCCGGCTTCCAAGTGCCGGGAATGAAGAATCGGGTGGAAATGCGCACCACCGTGACCCGGGCAGGCCTCTTAGTGGGCTCGAAGTCGAGTGCTCGGAACTGGATGGACACTTGGCCTAAAGGCACCTTCTTCCATCTTGTCTTCCTTTCGTCCGGGTCGATCTTGGCGAGTCTTCTTTGTGTGACGAGTGTTCGCGCGGCAAGTCCCTGTGAGACGAGTGACGAGATGCCCAGATCCTTATGGTCTGGATGTCGAAGTGCAGGTTGCCAGGTACGGAGAAGGCTCCTCAACTCCTTCTTGTCCTTCATAATGCCACGATCCGGATTCAGGTCAGTTGCGAGGAGAATGTGCGCCCGAGGTCTCTATACCCATCTTTATGGCTTCAGCTGCATCGTGGTAAAGGGTGTCGTTCAGATAAGGTAATAGCGGCGGGCGGACTACGGGCCGGCCGCAGCGAACCGCTGTGGAAGATCCGAGGTAAGTCAGTCTGGTCTCGGTCTCGAAGCCTGGACTTTCAATCCACCGTCACCACTTACACTATGGACCTTTCGCCTTGGCGCAATACGACACGACGTACAACATCGCTGCGACGACCGAATTCCTCCTAAGACGTATACTTTCCCACCGATGCGAGGAGCAAGGCACCGCGGCTAGTGCCGGTCAGTCAACGCCGCAACTGCGAGTCCAAGATTCGATCCCAACAGAGGGCGGCAGGGCCGCGATAGTCCGCACTGTCCGCTGCAAGACGCTAGGAACCCTTCAAATATGCCCAACAAACTGCCAAACGGGAGGTTGTATGCACTCGCGAGTACTGTTGCCGAGCAATAATTCGAGGTGCAAAAAGATGGGGATGCTTGTATAGCGGTATGCGCACGGTCCACCAGTGATCGCGATCACTGGTGGACCGTGCGCTGACTGCAGAGAGGCACGAAGAATCGAGAATCGAGAATCCATACAACAGAAGGAGAAATGAACGAGAGAAGCTCTGAAACATATCACGTTTTTCTTGCCCGATGGCGCAACGTAAGCTGTGGAGATGTATCAGGCGCCCAGCCTTGGAAGGACAAGAATGCCTCGATGACGGAAAATTACGAGCTCGGAGCACCACGATGTCGATGGCATTGCTGAGGGCAAACTCTCCAACGATCCCGAAGAAATCCCGTTAGCTCTGTGTCGACCTCAGCCGGTATTTATCTAAACCGCGGTATCTTATCTGAGTAACAATGACTTATCGCGTCCAGGCCACGACACTTCATCCGGGCCGTCTTGGTCATCTCGATGTGTTCGGAAGACAAACCTTCTCGGCAGTATTCGCTACCGAATTGACTCCACGGCACCTGTCTCCCCAAACAGGGACATCCTCCCACCATGTACTGAAGTCAGATCTCGATGGGACAATACGAGACCAAATACTTCGCTATCTACTCTTGTGCATACGAATCATGTATGGCGCTGCGTGGGCTGTTGGTCCATTTCCTCCGCTTCCTCTGCTCTGATCGACTGTAACGTGGATAGTTGGCCAAACACGGAGAATGAATTAACACGGCGTTACGATGTCAAGAATAAGCGTAAACTCCCACTGGAGAGGCCGCAGAGTTTCCTCAGCCCGGAAAACGTGGGACATTTCTGCCAGGCCCATTATAAGAGTCATTACAGGGCAAAATGCGGCACCAAGGCCTTACCAAAATGCCGAGCTCGAAGAGGAATGATCTGATGTCCCCACCTAAGACTTTTCGATGGACCGCAGAGATACAGTTCATGCATGCCTAGATGGGTCCCCTGCGAGTGGGTGCATGGCTTTGATATACACCTAGAGCGCCTCCTGCGTTTCCACAACGTTGAATCTAGCACATGGCTAGACGCGAGGCGAGTGGAGGAGAACCTGCTTGGGTCCTAGCCACCAAGATGGCTGCCACCTTCGGGAATGAGCCCACTACCATCAACACATGACAGCAAAAGCACCGACCTCAGGTGGAAGCTCGTATAGACGCAAGCGCAACTAGTCGCAGGCTAAGCTGCTGGGAAACCAGTTCTCGAGCAAGGATCGTCGCATGACGCGCTTAGGCGCCAACTTCACACCACGCTCAGCCTCAGCCCCGACGCCCGCACTAGCGAGTAGTGGCGTGCACACCACCAGCCTTCTGGACTCGGGCTCCAGGCGCTTCACCTCCAACACTCATCAACCCCCTACCTCAGGCACCGGCCGATTGATGGTACTAAACCTCAACTTACCGCTAACAGGTTGGCCCTTCTGGCTTGACGTACGGCAACACGGGCAGCCTGTGTCCCAATATACGCCCGGTGTCAGCCTGCTAGGCACCCGCCTGAACGATCACGGACAACAATTCCCATACTCTAAGGCTCGTATTAGATAAAAGGACACTATGTCTACAGCTTCGTGCCGAACGCAATTAAGTGTTCGCATTCATTGACAGCACGAGTCAGTAGCAAAAAGTCCGACAGCTGTCTACAATACAGCAGACCTTCGCTAAACAAGATCGCGCCCACAGCCAAGATGCCTGCAGCCGGAATGTTGGATGGAGAAGATCCGGCACGCCTCTAAACCAGAAATGACAAATGTCCTCGATCGGTGCAACGGCCGCTTCCGACGAGAAACATTTTGCTTGGACGACCTCCTTATAGCACAAGTCCTTATCGGATTCGCTTGTACTTGAACGCTACTACCTACCCTGATTTCACCTTCCCCTTGGCACATGGCCTTGCACCAGGAGACCGGTACTCGCGGCTCATTGTTCAGCGGTAGAGCAGACGACACCACCACTGCCCCCGGGACTAGTAACGCTATTGGTTAGCTAGAGGAAGGTCTCAGACATGGCTTCATAGTAAGACTGCGAATTCCAGACTAAAACCGACAGGAAGCGCTTCTCAAACAAGAAGCTCTGGCGATGTCAGCACGGCGCCATCCCTGCTTGTATCCATACTTGCACATCCCCTGGACCTGGCAACTACCGACATCATTTCGCATACAATCGGCTTAAGGCGCCAATTTCCCCTTGTCCAGTTCGACTGTGGGCAGCAAATTCATTGCTCTCTGTATTCTCCACAGACTCTCCTTCTCCCGATGCGAGATTCCAGGTGCGTAAGACATTGCTCAGGGTCCAAGACAAAGTCTCCGAAGACGGCAAAAGAACCTCACGCCACAATCGAAGATGCTGCGGTGATAAAGAAAAGGATTTCAACGCAAATACGGACCTTGCTAGCGAGAGGCTTTGCGTCACTAGCGACGAGGCCGTAAAGGTAGCCCTTCATCCTTCAGTACCAGCGAAGACCTCGCCGCTTACAAAAGAACATTGACTCTCCGAAATCGAATAGCTTCCCGCATACCCACAACTACCCAGCAAATAGACACTACCAACAACAATGACTTCCAACGATTCATTATGCGATCCACCATTACCAGAAGGCCGCATGGCTCGCCTCGATCGAGCTCGCCGCGAGGTCAGGCAGTCTCTTCAGAATGCGCTCGGTAATAACAATCCCCTTAATCCAACGCCAACCCTACAATACAATCTTCAACATCCTGCCAATAAATCACATCGACGTGCGACTCTGCTCGATCTCGCACACGCTAATGTTGAGCTCGACGATGCCGTCCAGGATATGGCGGGGGAACCAAGGCACACTTCCGGACGATGGAGAGAGCTTCTGAAAACTTATTCTGCACCCCGTGGTGCAGCGTATGCTTCTGCTTCCGCTGCAGCGGCAGCAACACAGCGCCCTAAGAGTGGAGGGTATCCAGGGCATGAGATTCATCCTGTTCCTTCGAATTTAGATAGTGCCCGGGATGACTCGGAAGGAGAAGCAAGTACTCCTCCTGATTATGCTGTTCCTCCAGACTCCAGCAACAGTGGCAATGATGCTGACGACGAGGTCGAATTCGAGAATCCAGTTGATGCTGTGAGTCGTGCTGGTGTACAAGACTTAGCCGAAGGCGCGAGCGTGGTTCCATACATTGGCGAGCTTCCACGCTCCACTGTCAGCAACGCTAACAGCGACTTTGCTGGTCAGCGGTCGAATGCTGATGCGAATCGCACCATCGCTCGCAATGATTTGGAGACAGGTTTTAGCTCTCCTCCAGGTTTTGGCGTTCTCCCAGACGCCAGCGATAGCAACGGCCCTGGAGATCCGGACGAGGGTGTGGTTCCCTTGGCCGTGAGTGGTGGACTTGGCCAGTATTATCCAGACGACGGAAACAACAACGGAGAAGATGAGAAAAATGGTAATGGCTTTGTGTACGTCCCACCGACCAATGCCGGGGTCGACCAAGAGGATAGAGAAGAAGACCAGGACCCAGGCATTGTCCCATCCGACGGCGAGGAAAACAGCATTGCCGCCCCCAACGACGAAGACGAGGAAGAAAAAGCAATCGACGACGGCAGCAACAGAGCCCCAGCCATCTCCCAACGCCCTGCAAGACCACCCACCAGCAGAGACAATTCCTCCATCCCGCCTCAACCAACCTACGAGATCAATCAGATCCTCGAGAAACGCAACGAACAGTACCGTATCGAATGGTCTAGCACCTGGATTGCGAATTCCGATCTCCATCCGTACCAGCCCGATGACCTGCGTCCGGCAGATTCCCACCATCGCACGAATCTCTGGCCAGTGCAGAAGATTGTAAGCAGGGTTCGGGGGAGGAGTCTGGTGGAATGGCAGCCCACTTGGGAGCCGGAGGGGTTTCTGGAACCGGCCGCGAGGAGGGAATGGCAGAGGAAGAAGCAGGGGACGAGGGCTCATTCGATTGGGTTTGTGGTTCGAGAGTAGGAGTGAGGCTTGAAGAGGGAAAGGGGGACAAGGAATCCTCTTCATTTTCTTCACTTTCTTTCCTCTTGTCAAGGATGGTATTGATGCTGTTGCTAACATTTCACGAGGCTTACAAATGGACGCATGATCTGTCCTCGAACAAACACTCTTGGTCCAATTTATCTTATGGCAGCTTACCTCGCACGAGCTCTGGATTCCCTTACTATCCCCTACCAATACTCTGGCTGTCTATGCTCCTATCTCCACTCCTCAAATACGAGAGGCTCTTCTCCAGTGCCCTGGGCCCCTCCAGAACAGCCAATGTGTTGGAAGTGCCATTTCTCTTCTCCCCGTAGCCCCCTTTCTGTATGCTGGCTCTTGGCCGCGGGAATCGCAGGCACTGTTGGATTCCAGACGTCAAAGTCGATCTCGACCCAGACTATCCGGGCGTTTCGTCTCACTTTGCCTGAGTCGGGATACAGCGAGACACCAGGCATGTCTTTACGGCCAATCGTCGAAACAGTTCCATCTCAGCCCCCGAAGGAATGTGACTTGCGTCCGGACCTAAGTCACTTTTTCTCAAACATGTGTTTCAATGCTCACGTTGTCTCTTCCATGTCTCACGTGAAGCCTGTAGAGACATCTCCAAGACAAGTGACCTTGTCTCGTCTCTTCCAACACATATCTCAGACAATCAACAACAGTTCTTTACGTCTCCTATCCTCTGTCTGACGGAAAGGTCTCGAGTGACCCCAAAGACAGGTGATTCATTTCCCCTTTTCCAACACACCTCTCATACTTTCGTTATACTTGGAGGAAGTTTCCACCCAGTCAAATTCTTCTTCTCTTTCATCTCCCACAACAAACTTCTCAGCCCACGCAAAGACCTCCAACAACACACCCCTCCGCCAGAAAACATCTCCACATCAGCCCACACAAAGACCTCCAACAACAGACCTCTCCGCCAGGAAACATCTCCACCAACAACAAACAAGCCCCTCTTCCCATCTCCTCAGCATCACAGTAATGATGTCGACGTCCCTCGACTACACGGCCATCAAAGCCCACAACCTCCGCAGCATGCTTAAAGAGCGCGGCATCCCACTCAAAGGAATGAGAACCCGGGAATCATACGAGTATGCCTTGGAGCAGGATGACCTCAGACAGCAACAGGAGAGGGAGAAGAAGAAGGCAGGGGGAAAGAGAGTAGTGCTCTCTTCCCTTCCTCCAACAGCAGCCGCTGTGACGTCTCGCCCGATGGTAACGCCAACCGCGCCTGGCGACGCCACCTCAAGTTCCTCCGATCGTGGTCACCGCCACCAGTCGGAATCTGCACCAGTCGACATCAACTCCAATCGACGCCGCCGCTATGCTGGGGCTTCCTCCTGGACCCAGTCCTCCTCTCTACCATCCTGGATGACCTCGAAATTCAAAGGCAAAGGCCATCGCCTCGGCAGCAACGCTCCATCCAATTCCAATAACAGAAATCTGAAAATCTTCGGCCTTGTCAGCATCATTATTATGCTCCTAATCATGGTCTACTTCGCGACGTCCGCACCCAAGCATGTCAAACCAGAATCGCTGCAATCCGATGACACCGACGAAGAATCGGCCGGAAGAAAGCAAATCGTCATTTGCTTTTCCCCTGCTAGGCTTCAGGGAGAAGACCAAGTCCGCTGGAATGATGGAATTCGGGAATTGGGATGGTGTACGCCCAGTCCTGGTCCGGTGCCATGGTAGACGGGGGGTCTCCTCCATTCTCAAGATTGGCATGCACAAATCCCAAATGGCGGAGATGCTATTGTATGGCCGCAGTACTGGCTGGCCTTGGTCCGTACGCACTGCGCCGTCTCTGGTTATTTGTACAAGGTAGCAGCGACACCCTCGAATGCGTATGGGATCTTGCGTAGTACCCAAGACTGCGAGATGCTGTACGAGGGATGATGGACTCATGGGAGAGCAAGGGATCGAGAGAGCAAGGGAAATAAGCAAGAGCATTGATTCCGGTAATGTCCCATTAGCACAATGGTCAACCGTTGGGGAAGCGTTAGAATAGCATTGTATAACTGACTGTGTTGGGGGAGCGAATCTTGGTATAGGCATTCGTGGCGGCGTCTGGTCACTTTTGCAGATACTTAATCTTAATGGGACATCTTTTCTAAAAGACTCTTATCTCCAATTCGTTCCCTCGTCAAATATTGTACCATATCTTGCAAGAGCTAGAGTTGGAGGAGTATATCCTTCACTTTGTGGTATTCTGAGATAATAAGGCGCCACCTCTCCCACGAATATGCTTGCTCCTCGATACTAGAGAGATAATCTTGTGGGCCCTTCGTCAAAGCACTCTTCGTCTAATATGCTTAATTGAGCGCCTTGAGACTTCTCCGAACCGCGCTATATACAGATATGGCTGCTGCCTATCGCTACGGGACAGATTCGACCTTGTTCTTGCTTCAAATCTGGTACCAAGCAAAATTTTAGGTGCTGGGAGCGAATTGATACACGTGTCGAGTAGGGTCCATTTTTGATATGCCGTGCGTCAAGGTCTAGTAGGCAATCGCTGCCGCTGTAGATAGATTGCCCTGCTGCTTGGAGCCGCGACGCGGTGCTCTCTTTTCCGGATCCAAGGGGTCGTTTGGATTCTAAGGTCGAAAGAGCTGGTACTGCGGCCAGGAGGATGCCGGCTTCTCCCAAAATAGTTTTGAATGCGACACACTCTTCTGGAAGCTAGCTTTAAGCTGGTGGGGAGAACGAGTCTGAACGACGATTATGAAGGTGGGTGAGGGTTGCTGTGGTCTCCGATATAAGCCTCTTCTACGAAGCTGGAGCTGTTCGAAAAGCCAGCTGTGATGAAATGCTTGCTGAGCTGTTCGAAAAGCCAGCTGTGATGAAATGATTCGTGATAATGCAACTGGTCAATCATAATAAAGTACCAGTCGAGATCAATTGAAGTCCAGATTGAGATCGTACCGAATTGGGCTTGTCCTGCGTGTCGATCCAGCGGTATCATTAGTGCTGGACTTGTCTTTCCGCGGCAAAGGACGAAGATAGCGAGGCATCGTCGACGCTGCTTGGCACTCAAGCTTAGCAATGCCGGCTGATGTTGGAAATTCTCTAGACCTTGATTGAAATGACTGACGTTGGAAGAGATTCTGGCTGCGTCTATACGCACAGCATTGATACTAATCGGTGTTAAGGTTTACCCAAGGCTCGTCCACCTTGGCTGGTCTCGCGGGCCACTGTTACTGACGTATCTTTGAGTTCAGACGCTTTTGACTGCCATGACATGATGGTTGGTTCCAACACTATCATGGGAGGTTTGGAATTCGTAACGTCGAAAGCATTCTTCCTAGTAAAGTACCAGTGAGTTCCTAGGGAGCGAAAGAAGGATCGTCGACGCTGGATGTGGTTTGGTAAGTTCCGCCGTCTTCCAGAATTGGATATAACGATCAACATACTACGTGATAGTAACAGAGGTCCCAGGAATGCCTGACTAAATTCCCCAAAGAGTGGGATCGGAAAGGAAAGCCGGGAGTGGCAGATGCCAAAGAGCGGGTGCGTGATGGTTCTAAGAAGTCTAAGCAATTCTGTTGTCTGGTCAGACGAGATGTGACAAGGTGGAAGATGTCAAACGCTGCTACGCGAAGTGGGCTGACATGCGATGCAAGCGGTAGCGTTTATATCAAAGTGAGTTGTTTAGCTTAACCATACCTAGGTTTCGAGTCTCGACACGGCCACTGAGACCGATGATGGGTTGACCGATCGCTCCGGCAAGCAGGTGTGCAGAGATCCAGGGATCCTGCATGTGGAACTCGCTAGAGAGTGCGCTGGATGGCGACAGTGTTGGAAACGGATGAAAATGATCAGGGACGCCGAAACTCTCTTGGTGTTCGACCCAGGGTGCTCTCCTCTCCTTGCGTAGCGCATTCGTGGACGGGACGCAAATTTCTCCTCCCCGTATGTTACATTGGTCTTCACGTTTTCTCGCTCTACGCAACTCGAATTCAGGCGCATTGTACCGCATGTTGAGATGGCTCGCCGACCCATGAACTCTGGGCCAGAACCTCATCGAGGAAGCTGTAGCTGGTAGAAAGATCGGAAATGCCGTAACCTCGCCTCCTTGAAAGTTGAGGCAGAAAGACGTGGGGTCAATATCGAGCTCCTTGAGATGATGCAGATAAAAGCAGGAATTTGGGTATTGTCCATGACAGTAAGAGTCCCCGGGTGGCTGGTGCGGAAGATTGCTAAGGGCGAGAAATGCTAAAATGGGGCAGACGCAAGCGGATTTCAAGGTGGGGTCGGCCGTTCATAATGCTGTGTGGTACTGTGGTAGAAAGAACCGATTAATATGGCGCTTGGCAGCGTTCACGTAGAGCGCAAAGAAGGAAAGCTCCGCCATGTGCGCATGTGCCTGACGTTGCCGTAAACCCAGGGGAGTGTGTGGCCGACGAAAAAGAGTGGGCTACAACCACTAGAGATGGCGGCCACCCGTGACCCGAGGCTGTGTGTTGCAATGGTCCCCGAGAGTGGCCAAAGCTGTACAACATGATTGTCGACAAGGAAAGTGTGTACATTCGCTAGAAAGAGCTGAGGCTGTGATTTGTAATGGTAAGCATACGAGAGGTCCAAGGGCCGTCGAGAGCCCATGTCCGGCGAGAGAGGTAGGCTGTATTTGCCAAACATGTTTCCATGATTATGATTCCAGGCCGACGCGGTAATAAATGTGTTTGGTAAGGTAGCCGGCATTTGGGACTGCATTGTCGACAAAGAGCGTCGGCTGCACTGGCCGGTCATTATCGAGGTGGTGCTACCTTCTAGCTGCCACGCTGTCACTGAATACCGCTGCTGCGGTGTTACTTAGTATGGTATCAATGCTTAACGTTGAAATGGCCTCCGCTCCAGCACACTGAGAAGTAGCGCCATCTGGAATCCAGAATCTCTTGGCGGTGCTCTTAACGCTGGTTATTTGTCTCCCCTTCCTCCATGTTACTCTAACTAGGTAGGGGCCGAGCTCGGCACCGAAGGAAGAGACCTTTGAAGCCTGGTCCGACTCATCAATGCAAGCTTAGTGGAACCTGATTGTAGCGCTCTCTGGGTACAGTAACACCTGATTGCGGAAATCGCAGCCATGACCAAGAGTCCCTCCTCGAAATCTCAGCCAGTCGAAGGAGATATTCCCACAGGTACAGCTGTGATTCTTTGTTGAAAGGAGGATAATAGCAGGATAAGAAATTTCGAGCCAGAAGGCAGAGCGAGCAATTTGCTATAGAGATTTGCGTTGCCGCGCAAATTCCACATGCTCGAATTGCCCGCATCACATCCGCCATTGCGCCACGAGAACAGGGTTGGATCGACACGGAGCCGCGGGCGTCTCCTTTGCACTGTATACGCATGCGCTGGTAGTACAGGCCTTTCGCCGCGAGAGTTCAGTCCTGAGTCCGTGTCTACTGAGCGGAGATATAGAGAGAGCTTGACAAGGCTGCCTCGTGATTTTCAGGGTTGTGCTACCATGCTAGATAGCCCTCCATCAGCACGCTCAGTGAGTAGTTCCGCAGGGGCTAAGCGCAGGTTACAACTGTTCCATGCTGTAAGGCACTCTGGAAGCTCCGGGGTTGCGTCTGGTTATGCATTGAAGAACGAGATAGATAAGCGAGAGATTGACGAGGCTGTTTCCCTCGCGAACTTGGGTATGCTAGCTCAGCGCTACGCAGCCGATAAGGTAGGACAGCCGAAAGACAATGGCAGTTCCTCTCGAGTATTAATCCCAGTGCGCCAATCCTACAAGAGTGGCACTTTAGAGGGCAGTACAGCAAGAGGCTGGTCTAAGACCTCGGATGATAACACTGAGCAAGTCGTCGTCAGTCAGCTCTCCAGTGAAGTCCTCGTCGCCTGGTTCGAAGCCGCATGCTTTCGATGCGGCATATTGCTCTGAGGTAAGCACTTGCGGGATTGAATCGTGGCGGGTTTCCACGTAGCACAGTAGCGCTTCTTGGCCAGAAACTCTTACGAGCGGCATATCTAGATGTCCATGATACAGTCCCGTGTTTCTAACATGCGGCAGAATGGGAACAAGTAGCTTCGATGGTGGCCAAGAATCTAAATCACAGCCATTGTTGTCTTCGTGGATGTCTAGCGCCTTATCAGTTCGGTCCGACGTCCCTGATGTGATCTGCATCTCATAAAACAACAATGCAGTACGCTATACAACTGCGTCGCCTCTCGCCCGTCACGTATGCAGTGGATTCGTATATTACTTAGCGTAAGGGCAAGCGATGTCTTTCCTAGGCGACTCGGCGGTGCTGAAGTCAAGGTTTCAATGTCTATCATGTTGACCAAACAGTACCGGATAGGGGAGATCTTGTAGTCAGCTGTTGTTGGAATCTAGATAAAGGGACTGGGTAGGCGGATTGCAATTAGAAAGCTCAAGCGCCGTGGTTCCGTGAAGTCGAATCTATTCCCGGCCCGGTCCGTCCCGTCCCGCCCCGCAGGACTCCCGGCCTCGATGCATATGCCTAGTAAGGACGGGACGAACTCCCCGCGAGCGGGAACGTTCTCCGCAGCGATGACACATGCTGGCGAGTAGGCTGCTGGGAGTAGTCTGCTCAACACCGTGGCGATGTAGTGGAAGCAGAGGAAGGATAAGAGCTGCTCAAGAACCAGGGAAGTTCGTGCGCACCAGCCTCAAAAGAAAATGAAATACATCTGTGTCTATCAGCGTGAACGTTGCTCGATGTCCATTGGTGTGAGCTGGCTGTAGTGTCCGTCATTCAGAGTTGATACAAAAGCGATTCCCGAGAAGGCCTCTGAGCTGTCCCATCCTGTCCTGCCCGCGGCCCTGGCATCCCAATACTGTGAGAGAATTGAACCTTGGCAGAGTAGCCAATCGATGCATCTCTCCATGGACGACAATCCGTTTCCAGCTGATGTCAAACCATTTCGATAATCACCCCACCACAGTTCGCCCAACTTCGCCGATTGCCACACCTCAGGGAACCTACGGACGATGGGCTTCGGAGAACGAAGTGCTCACAGGACCAGATCCAGCAGGGACTCCCAACGCTTCGCCCTCAAGCCCATTGAGCCAGGCCTTGATGAAAGAGTGGTGATCGACGTTTCCGTCCAAGTAACCACCAGGTAGAGTTATTGGCCTCGCGAGCTGTTCGTAGTGGACATGTCCATGCGAAGGGAAAGCTGGAGCGGCATCGTGCTCGTGAACTCTGGCATCGTGTACTCCTCCGCGGGCAACGTTGCTTTGCTGGACGTTCGCATCGGCCTCCATCTTGACTGACTGGGAAGTCAGACGGCGTCGCTTTGATGGCCTCCTCATTTCGCCTTTGTCACCAGTCCCTGGCTCGCATGGGGCCAGCAGAGGACGGCGTCGCTTTGAGCTCGCATTCTCATTTCCCGCTCCCTGGACATGCGTTTCCACACCGGCGGTGGTCGTCCCAGTCAAGCTGACCCAGCGTCTCGCCTCGTTCTGAAGGGTAGAGCTCCACAACTCGTTCAGGGATTCGTCTAGTAAAGCAGGCGCGAGATCGAGAGCACGCATCTGTGGGAGAGTGGGAGCCACGGGACCAATAACCTCCTTCAACGCGGGGATCCCAATCTCCGAGGAGTGTCCAGGGAGGCCGCAGTTGTGTTGCGCCAGTAGGGTCTTGAGAGCAGCGTCAACGAGATGGCATGACGGCGGCGTCTTCGAATGAGCGACGAATAGCTGGGCGAGGAGGGCATGCTCCATGACCACGTTGGGCTCCTTAGAGCAGGTCACAGTACGATGACAGGGCTCGGACACACACGTGGGCTTGCCGTTGAGGTAAAGGTGCAGCTTGGTCTGATAGAAGGCAATGGCGTAACGAATGGGTTCCACGCCCTTGGCCATGATGGTATTGATCAGAGAACGCCTGTATATCATTTTCGCACGCTCGTGGGCGGGGTGTGAGTCTGACGTCGACGTTGCGTGACGAATTACTGTTGGGAAGGTATATCGCTGGATCAAAGTGCAATGGAGATGCGAAAGGTTGGTCGGAAGAATGTTTGTCGATGCTGTAGGTTCTGTCTCTCTCTCTGACTGCCTCTGCACAGTCTCGGAGTTCCGAAGCGGCCCGATCAATTTCACTTGACAGTCCCAGACCAGCCAGTAGAGCGTTTGTCTCCAGCAGCTTGATCTCGGAAGCCGAAACATGCTCAAAGATTCAATTGACAGAGTAGGTCAGCCATTCGAGCGCTTGTCTGCGCTTTGCTTAGTCTCGGACCTCCGAAGCAGTCCCAGCGATGCCAATTGACGGCCGGCTTGACATCCTATTGGGCTATTTTGTACACCTCATAGAGGTGCATATGTGTCCGTGCGAATTTCTCATGCAGATCTGGTGGGCGTTCGCAGCATGAAAGGACGCCCCACCTACCGGGCGGGTCCGCTCACACCGCTGTCTGCGAACCAGTTCCCTGCTGCAAGCGGGCCTTGATCTCCGCTCACCGCTGCCAACCTGGTATCCGCTCTGAGGCTCTTCGTCCCAGCAGTATCTCCCACGCGTCTTTTACCCGACGTGGCGCCATGAATGTGGGCGACCCGCTGGTGCTGCATCTCTTACTGACCTCAATGAGGTGTCCGGCAGGAGCTCTCGCTATGGACCGGGAAGCGTTCCGACAATTCGGCACCGTGACAGCTCGATGTATGCATCGCTCGTAGAATGCGAAGTGCTGGGTTCCGACATGTTGTTGACAGTTCAGATTCGCTGGAGCGAGTGTAGAGGTACGCATTATGCATGTCGTGTGCGTGGAGGGTGGGAGGCGTTTCGAACGAGTGGATGACGGGTACGGCGCCGACGGCGAACAAATTGTTGTAGATGTATCACATGATGCAAGCTGGTCGACGAGAGGAAATGCGAGATGCGGGAGCACCATGTGCGAGCACATGGTGCTCGTGATAGAAGATCTCATCGTCACGTGGCTCGGGGGAGAGGGTCACGGGATGCGGGGCCGGCCAGCCTCGGTCGAGACTCGAGCCATTTCGCCATTCGACCACTACTCGGCAGCTACACTCACATCTCACCCACTATGCACTCCACAGACCCTGTCCACCTCACTATCTGTATCACTCATTTTGATCCCCACACATGCTCTGGTCGGCCATGTCCTGCGCCGCCGCCAGCAGAAGGCGCGCGCACGTCAGCAGCTCCTCGCCATAATAGAAGCCGCGGGCATCCTCCGAGCCATCCCAAAGCCGCAGCACAATCCAAACCACATCTCGAATACCCTTCACATGCGCCCATCTCCACATCCACGATTGACGCGCACTCTCGCTGATGCCCCGGGCGACAGCCTCGGTCTCTTTCGATACCCCGCTCAGCCTTGATCTGATCACGGACTCGGAATGAGCCCCTTCACCTCCGCCGTCGACGCACCGGGCCACTATCTGTGGAAACACTTCTCCACAGACCGAGGAGAGCTCTGCGGCGCATTGCAGCCTGAAGATGGTCGCTTCGCGTTGGATGACGCTCTGGTTGGTGATTGCAAGAGGCGAGAAGAAGCGTGGTTGGAGCGAGGCGGGACGAGGGAGTGTGGGACAATGAGAATGAATGGTTCCAATGTCAGAGAGGAGCTGGGAGCGCGGCATCTGTGGTGTTGATAGTTGCGGCAACAGAGTCGCCCACAACGTGGCGAGGAGGACGTGGAGGAGCAGGGCACGCCACGATATACCCCACCGCTCCGGCCATGCATTGCTTGGAGCAGGATTGCGGCTGATTGGGCTCAAATCGACAACGAGCCGATGTCTCGATCCACGTCGATACGCAGGGTGGTCAGCGAAAATGGCGTAAGGGGATGGCGGGCAGCTAGCTGCTCGCTCACGTCCCGGTCCCTGTGAGGGTGGTGGATTGGCACGGCGACGGCTGCTATCGTCCATTGTCTCAACAGATGCACAAACGTATATCAAGAGGCTGTGGTGAGCTTGCTGACATTGAAGTCGCTCGCAGATGCCCGCAGGTCATTCCAACGTCGGACCGGACAACCGCGAGCGCACGTGGTAACGTGGCATGTTCGCACAACGCGCAGGGCCCTCTGGCTGCCCTGGAATGCAACGTTACACCCAACCGTACAGCACTGCAGCTGTGCAGGACGATACCGGTCTGCTGGATCTGTCACTCGCTTGGAGTTGCTGCACCGAATTTGTGGTTCGGCTCGACTTCCCGCAGCCACCGTCCGGCTGGACTTACCACGCCTGCAGGTCGTGCAAACTTATGTTCGTGTTCGTGCGGGCGAACCTGTACACAGCAGTGATGAAGAACCACGACGCTCGCATGAGTTCGCACGCAACACGTCACACCAGATTGCATGCACTCTAATCAATTCTCCGGCGGCACGTCTCAACTTCACTTGTTGGAAGCAACTTGACTTCCTTTTTGCGATGAAAGAGCTCGCTCACCGCTGCGGATACCGTTTGCACTCAGCCGAAGGGCCATCTCCGATCGCCACCTTGGACCAGTTAGATCCAATTTCCATCCCTGTCGCATGTTTCGGCCGCACCTCCGGGAGGATGGACTGCAGGGTACATCTCGTCATCGCTCGTGCCTGGAATGATAATGAAACATCTCACTGGCCAAGACAATCTCACTCACCTTGAACAGTAGAAGCTGAATCGGTGTTCCAAACTCTACTTCAACTACATCTCGACGGACAGGGCCTTTTCTACTCTCTGCTATCTTCTTGCGGATGGCGGAGATACCTCTTTTGATGTCAAAAATGGACGCTTCTCTGCCAGCCGCTCGCTGTCGCGGCTACGAACACCATCCCCTGTTCTGGCTTGGTCCTCGCGGCTCGCGTTTGCGCAGTGACACGACAGCTTTCGATGGATGGCACTGTCAAAGCGCACTCCCGAGCCCATCCTCCAACTACGCAAGATGGTCGTATCCCAGCACCCAGGCACTGACCACCAGTGCCCATATCCATCCTGCGCGGCTTTGACTGAAGCTGCTTCTTCCCGCAATCCATTTCCTCTTTTTCATGCTGCGTCTACCCGCTGTCACCTTCTTGACACTCTCGGAGGCCGATATGAGCCCCGCTGGCCTGACCGACACTGCTTTCCTTGGCTTTGAAAAAAGTTGAACTTCCCGGGTGCCTTCTGAATCCTCTCTTCTTTTCATCCACTCTTGCCCTCTGAAGCCCCCTCTCTCTGAAACTCAGTACTGCTCCCTGAACCAATTTCCGACCTCATACGGTCATACCATCCTGCTCTTCCAGTCTTTTCACTTCCCCTCCCCCCCTGCCCGTTTGCATCCTCCCCACCCAGGGAACTTCCATCACGGCAGCAACCGCACACCATGAACGAGCCACTCTTCACCCCGGAGAAATTCGGCCTACGCAACGACCACGCCGGAGCACAAGCGATATGCGAAATCCTCAAGCTTGTCGACAAGCATGGCCCTACCAAGCATCAACTGGCTTTCGTGGTCTTCACCGTGCTTGAGCGGATGACTGGACCCCGCTCTCGGAAGACCGGCAACCTCTGGATCAAGCAGCAAGTCGCTACGTACTTCCCGGAGACGAATATGAAGCGCACTGCCTGCGAGTTGTGTGCTCACCGCAAGACCAAGTGCCAAGTTACGAACGGTAGTGCGTACTTCATGTGCCTTTGCACTGCGATTTGATTTTATGCTTACTTCCGTGAATAGATGATTCCTGCGATGAGTGCGTCAAGCGCGGCATCACATGTGTTGCCGCTAGCGCTTCGAAGCGCAAGAGAGAGGCTGCTGTCGATCGTAATGGGCCTGCTACCAAAGCCCTCAAGCTGGAGACCAACATGGACACTGTCGGCGAGGAGCACGATGTGCCAGACTTGATCTTCGACTCATCACCTGGTCGGGATATTCCAGGAGAGCCTGCCACTCCATCCACTCCCTCTCCAACCTCCCGTCCAAAGTACCAAGTCCCCGCCGGCGAAGATGACCTGATCAACAGCGCTGCTCTCATCACTCCACCGTCTGCGACATCCGCTCCCGGCAGCAGGTTCTCCGATGCCTCCATTCCCATTAATTGGAACGGTCCCGTGGTGTATGATCCTGACCTCAACGCTGGAGGCCTCGTTGGCAGAGAGCTCGTCGATGAAGACCTCATTGGCAGAGAGCTCGTCGATGGAGACCTTATCAGCGGGGAACTCGTTGGCGACTTCTCCAATGCAGGAAACGCCGGTTCGCTGATGCTGAACGATCCCATGGCTCTGGACGGTCTTGCAGCATACGATCCCAACTTCGACTTCAACTTGAACGCTGAAAACTTCGACGCCGGACGCATCACCGCCGGGATCGAAGCTCCACTGCCAGCCCAGCCCATGACCTTCGACGAGCTCGTCGCATATGACCCTGCCTTCGATGCCAACCTCGATGCCGCCTTGGCCCCACCGCTGATGCAGGACAAGCCCATGACCTGGGACGAGATGATTGCGTACTATGCTGGCTTCCATGCTGGTCTTGACGCTCTGATGCCGAACAACTTCGGTCCGGCCCTCGACGCTGGCTTTGGTGCTCCCGTGGTCTTGGATAACATCGATCCTGCCCTCAATGCTGGTCTTGGTGCTCCACTGATGCTGGACGGTATCGATCCTGCCCTCAGCGTTGGGAATGACTCCAACCAAGTGGACCTCAGCGCTGGCAACGCTGGCAACGCTGGCAACGCTGAAGATGGCGATTCTCCGGAGTCCATGCTCATCGCCCAGGCCAACGCTGCAAACATGGCCGACACTGAAGATGGCACTGACGCCGCAGATGTCTCCCACGCTGAAGAAGCCTCTGCCACTGGACATGACCTTGGAGCTGCCAACGACTCCACCGCTACGGTCGCTATCGCTACGGTCTCTCCCTTCGATGCCGCAGTCACCGAGATGTACGCTGGAATCGCCAACTTGCACGCTGCCGGTATCGACCTCACCGCCGGTGACGACCTCAACGTCGCTATCAAGTTCAATGCTGGAATCGCCGACTTGAACGCCATTACCGCCCAGCTCAATGCCCAGATCGGCAAGTGGAGCGCTCGTGGAGATGTCGATGCTGCTGCCTCTGGAAATGACCTCAATGCCCTTCTGAGCCTCGGCGATATCTTCGATCTCGACGCTGCTGCTGCTTCTGAGTCTGGTGCTGGCCTCGCGGACCCGTTGGACCAGACTCTTGCTGGCCCAGCCAATGTTACCGAGGACTTGGAGTTCGGTCCTGATCTCTTCACTTTCTCCAATGGCGAGAGCGAGAGTGAGGGAGAGGGGGAGGAGGCGGCTCCTGCTCAGGCTGATGGCAACGATGAGATGGACTGGATTGGTGGGTACCAGTTGGGCGATGAGGTGGAGAACCAGATGGCTTTCGTCGACTTGGAGGAGATTGATTTGTAAGTGAGGGACTTGCGAAGGATCTCGGATGGAATGGATGGGATGGATGGGATGGATGGGATGGATGGGATGGATGGGATGGATGGGATGGATGGGATGGATGGGATGGATTGGATGGATGGGATGGATGGGATGGATGGGATGGATGGGATAGATGAATGAATGATGAGTGATAACCTCCGCTCTACACGACGAGGACGCTGGATGGAATAATACCAATGATCGATGATGATCTCAACGACGACGCTGGGTCAGATGACATGAATGCAGAGCGACGCCGACTCTGGACGACAACGACAACGACAGTGATAATGAAGTATCCACGAGGATACTGCGACCGTCATGAGCGACGATGAGAATGTATATAACCTACACGACCATCCGCCATAACGATTGCGGATCTGAACTGATACGAGTGCAATAATAGAATAGATAGCCTTGCGCAATGATAATGATAGATCCTGCCTAATCTCTCTCCCTTCTCCAGCGCCAATGGCTAATGCTATCGTGGCTTTTCATGTGACTCTCCCTATCTCCTGCTTTGTCGGCGAGCCTTGTGAGGCCTTCTTGCTCTGTGGGTTTGATTCTGCTGCTCTAAGATAAGCGGTCTATGCAGTCAATGTCGTCTCCATCTATTCGCCCGCCGTACTCCGTCAATTTTCCCGGCGTGTGGCAGCCAGGCAGAGGCTAACACCGATCCCCGCGCTTCGGGCAGCCGGGGCAGGCAGGCCGCAGGTTCGGGATGAAGTCTAGAGAGGACATGCCTTCCGTAGAAACGACGGTCTACCTTCATATCACATAGACTGCTTGTGCACAGAAAGAGTTATCCACATGCAAGATTCTTTCGTAGACTTTTGTGGGTTGAATGCGGCGAAGAGAGTCGGATAGAGTGAGGTGTAGCGTGCCTCAGGGGTGAAAGACGCTAGAACTATTCAGGAAGTTTCCCGCTGCTGAATTTGCGGCCTTCGTGTCCCCTATCACAATATTATCGACGCCGACTATTAGTTCCACGGTACTGGCGACACTAGCACTTGGCCTGAAGCCTAAACTGCTGTCAGAATCATCGTATAGTGCTACCTCCCAAGTCAGACCTAGCAATCGAGAATGTCTTCTGTCGGCGGAGCCAAATCCTCGCTTGCTGGAGCATCTCCTCCGGAGAATAGTTGCTCCGGCCCCGCGTCTGAGAAGGAGGTAGGTGCAGTACTATAGGCGGAGTTCTGAAATTTCAACTCTCTTCCGCATCCATGGTGGTGTACCGCGACTACTGCCGCACCCGCCGCCCTAGACCGGAATTCGATTGCAATGCTCACGTTGACCTCGCGACATATATCTTCTTCGAAGTCTCGCCTCTGAGGGTTTTGGCCCGCGGCTACTACCCTGGGTTCGAGAGCCTAAGAGCAAGCGCGGCGTAAGAGTAAATTTCCTTACAAATTTGTGAACTCGGGCAGTCGCTTCTCCCTCCGTTGAAGCCCGTCCACAAAGACTGTGGACGGCCTTTCACGGAAGCAGAAAGAAAGACCTAACGCCAAGATAGAAGCAGCGACACTGACTTGCCTCGTGCGGGTAAGCCGCACACCCGCCTCGCCGTTGCAACTCGGCGCTACTCTAGGAGATTACCGAACATCCCACCTCACCCATTGCTAGAGATACAGATCAGGAGTGGAGCTGGGAGAGTCTGCCAGAGGACTAGAGTCTTAATACAGAGAGGGTCCAAGCATGTTCGAACAGCGGCGGTCTGTAGGAAGTGGTGCTATCAATGTGTCGCTACGTGCGGCAACACGAAGACGGTGCTACAGGATGCGCTTGATGCTATTCGAGGCACAGCGGTCAGTGGGTCACTCGCAATACGCAAGTCCCAATCACGATCGAAGCCGAGGCAGGCATACCCGAGCTATCGTTCCCTGCATTGGCACATCCTACGTCTCTCTGAAATAAGGAATGTCGACAATGGGCTCGAATTTTCCACATATCCTTCAGTCTACAGACCGGCCAGTCCCATGCACGTTTCCCTCCGCAACTCGCTCGTATGCGAATCGCCCGAGGTTCGATCGATCATCACCTGCCTTCACGCGGCATCTTGGCCAATCAGACGCTAAAACGTCCGGCCATTGCACTCATTAGCGCCGATGACATCTCCCTGCGCAGCTCGCTCGTGTCCGAGCCATTCGACTTTCGAAGAACAGCTTTCGTTTCTCAGAGTGTTTGGAAAGCTCCTTGTCACTTGAACATCAATGTACATCAGCCAAGCATTCCTCAAAAGCGCATGCACCTCGCAACTCACCAGCGCCAGCACTTTTTCCAGCTGACTTCCATTCCAGGGGAAGTTGAGCGTACACGACTTGTAAATCGCGATATTGCCGCAACGGCGGAAGATAATAGCTTCCACGGAGCCGGAGTCCGACATTGCGTCGTTCCAACACGCATTCTGGAATCGCGCCGTAACCGCCGTTGTCTGCACAGACATAGATCTCCTCAAACTTGGCTATGTTATCCTTATCCTCCTGTTCAGCAAAAAAGCCATCGATATATATTGCGTCGAGCACTCACCACATCTTCATGGATGTCCTCCTGACTGCTCCACTGGCTGAGTGTACGATACCGCGATTGTATATAACATCCTCCTTCTCTCTTCAGCCGCCATCTTCCGGTCTGTTATACAATTGTTCTCGATTTTGTCCTCTGGCAAAGCTTGCAATCATGTCGCTCGTGGAGGTCGGTTGGCGCCATGCATGCCGCTCGTGGAGTCTGTCGTGGAAGCGCGGACAGTCGCTATTTTGGTAGGATTCGATGGGGCTGAGGTGTGATACGGAACCGCCCGCGTCGGCAGCAGTAATTCGAGCATGTGGTGCTTGAGGACTGTCGTACGCTGTGGATGGATCGTCTGGGCGGGGCGCTCGAGCCTCATCCATGGGCCGCAAGGCTCACATTAGACATTCGGAGGGCCGCACTGCCGCTGTGCGGTGTACTGTGTAGTGGGAAAGCAGCGTACAATTCGAGGACGTGGATTCTCATTAATGCGATTGATGGACGCAAAAGGAGTTGACGGCCTCGCTGCCGTCGCGCCACCTCTTCTGGCTTGGCGTGGCTTGGCGTGGTTGTCTGCTGCGGCCTGGCGTAGCCGGTGGGCAATTGGGTCCGGTGCGGGCCGCAATCTCTATTTTATGAGCATATTTCGACATCACGTCAACATGGCAAGCTCGAACGGAACGGAAAGACTCGTCCGTCAAATGCCAATGAGTCTTTTAACATGCTATCACCCGTTGGGCTCACATTCAAACGTCAAAATCGTCAGGGCATTGCGCGATCTCTGCAGTCTTCAAGGTTCCACACCATACCTTCGCATATAAGCTGTTCAAGAAGACGGCCGAGAAAAAGTCATCCAAAGTGGGTCCGTACAATGCGATGTCCTCTCTCTGGAACATCACAGTACGAGATGAGATAGCGTGGGTGAGCACAATTTGCGAAATCGGGGATCAGAGATGGGCGCCAAGCGCGAGAAGCCGCGAAGCGGGATAGATGGGAGGAAAGCCATGGTCTGCAAGAGCGCCAGATGCCGCGGCAGAGCCTGAAAGTACAGAATCGAGCAGGGACGACACAGTCAAGGCCAGGGTGCAAATACGCGGATAATACGGGGCGCCTTGATACTGGTGTAAATCGCGCGATGCTGGAAACCGAAAAACGTCTGGAACGCCTCATCGTGGTGATCATGAATGCCCCGAAGGTCCAGGCTCACCTTATTAACAACGCTCGCCTCCATCGAGAGTATCTCCATTTGCCCGACTTCGCAGCTGCTGGAGATAGCACGGATCTCGACGCAAACCTGCGCTCTATCCGCTTGGTCATCCTCTGCCAAATTGGAGTGAACATTGATAATAGTACACCTGAGTGTGGTTTCTCTTGCGTGCGTTCACCATGCACTGGGCCACTGGCAACACTATTGAATGAAGCTGATCGTTTGTCCAACTCAAGTTACTCAGTCCGGAGCTAACCGGCATGTAAATCAAACCTCACGACCGAAGCCTGTCGTGTGGAGCTCGGATGGCCGTTCATTTGCATGGGGACATGCGCCGAGCAACCGTGATTTTCCCCTCCGCCGATAATAAGCGAATCTGCAAGAGAGGCACCACGCCAATCGAACGGGATACCAGGATTCTCTGATCGCCTTGTGCTCGATGCTGGACGTCTGCTCTACCGGCAAAGTCTACATAATTTCAAAGTCATTGCTGCTGCTACTGCTATCGCCGTCGCCGGTGCTGCTCGGCTTCCTACACCTTATAAATGCTGTATGCGCACCTCGTTCGATGTGCCCACCTAGGGTGGGCAGAAACATGCGTGGAAGGAATTTGTCTGCGCCTCAAGTATCAGCCTAAGACACTGGAAGATGGGAATTTGAGAGGCCCGTGTCCGTCGAATGCTCACATTGCTCAGAGTGCGAGAGATGCCAGGACCAACGCAGCTGCGACCCCGGAACAAGCTACAGCAGTGTTACCACGGGCGTACGCTGGAGGTCAGGTCGAACAATGTCCCAGCTGTATCAAAGCTGAAATGTTACTCCGTGCTACTACGGTCTTTCTCGCTGGCACTGCAACTTTGAGAACGGCCTACTTCGAAGAACGAGATAGCCTCAGACCTGTCACTGGGACTAGAACTATCACTGAGATCAGCTTGCAGCAGGTTCTCGCGATCCCATCTACGAAGTGATAGCCCTTGCGACCCGACATCAGAGTATTTGAAAGGGGATGCGTCGTGGCTCTGGTCGAGCGAACCACTGTCTGACCATCTTAGACCCTCGACAGGCACTGGACCTCGACAGTACGCGTCGACATGGTGCTTCCCATCGTGGCTGCTCGACGCTCGCAAAACCCTTCCTTAAGGGATACCTTCGAGGTCATTGATGAGCTGCTTCTGATGCAGGCTGCTCCTCTCATTAGGCGCAGCATTTGAAGGTCAGATGATACCAACGGGAATCCTCGAAGCAAAATAACGTCCAAGATCAAGACGCC